ACTCCAAAAATTAAACAAAAAAATGGGACCCACCTGCAAGCATTACCTTTCGGATAGAAAAAGAATTATCCAAATCGGTCCACTAGCGGCATAGTTATGCCGTAACACACATAAAAAAAAAAAAAACATACGGTCGAATTGAATACCTCCTTCTTTTGGGAAGTCGGTCAATGAGATTTTTATAATTTTATGCGGATGAAGTCGCATGGGAACAGCTAGTCTTATATACAGATCTGCAATATTATTTTACCCAATCATGTTAAGCGCCCTCTTGTTCATGTTAAAAAGTATCACAAGATTTCTATAGAAAACTGTACAAATTATGACTAATATTATGTCATTTATTGAACCTAGACTAGGTACTTGAATATTTCTTACGGAAATATTCTATCAAAATGCTTGCTTGCTTGCTACAGCTTGGGATCAACAGCCTTACATCAGTATTACTTACATTAAGTTATGACGTAGTTAGACGAAGGTATCACTTAAACTTATTATATTAAAAGCTTTCATCTTAGAATATTACGGTTACGTTTTACGCCTACGATTCTCGTTGTTAAAACAATCTAAAGATTAATTAAAGTACGGTAGTCCGATATTTTTTACTATGAAAGGTCTTATAGGGAGTTAGTACGAGAATCCTATACTTAAGAGATATTTAAGTAACCATTTAAAGACTCTTATTGCTTGATAGAGTCGAAAATATCTTGAATTACAAACTAATAAACGAATTAAGTTAACAAATTAATAAATTAAGTTAACAGTTTAACTAAGTTAATTTTTATGAGTTAAGACTATTTTGGCTGAATGACACGAGAACAGCCTTTTTTATGAAGATTTTAGAAACCGGAAAATACATTTCCCTTGCCGGAAACGAACGAGCTCCCCTCCGAGGTCATAAGTTAACAAGTTGTTGCGAACATCCAAATCATTTTGGTACATTTACGGTACATTACGACGATTTTAATATCTTTTAAAAATCTTTATGTTAATTATTTTATGGTTTTAGAGAAACCTTTGTAATTAGGGATAATTTTGTAAAAGTAATAACTGTCTGTTAATACGCATGTTGTATTTAGTTGTTGAAATTTCAGTAGTTAACGTGGACTCTGAAAGTTGGACATAATTAAACAAGAGGGTTGTAACACTCAATCTGTAAGCTAATAAAATTTACACAAGTTTTTAATTAGTGTAATTAATCGCTGGTTATTGTCGACCCAATTCACTGATCTTATTTTATTACCGAAAGTTTGAAATGCTTTATTGAAACAAGTTTTAATAAGCCATCAAATATTTCGGATCATGAATCTGAATGATTATTGTAGATGTATGTGAAAGGAATTGAAATTCACATTAAATTGTCTTAGTTAAATATAGTGACTTACAGACGGACAGATAGCTGACCGTATTCCTACTAAATTCTCAATGTTTACAAGATTCCTAATGAGGTTTATTTTGTGTAGGCATCGAGATGTCGCGAGGGCGCGGTGCCGATGGCGCGGGCTGAGCGCGCTCGGCTAGGCGCCCATGCGCGCCTGGCTGCTTGTGTGTGCGGCGCTCGCGCTCGCGCCGGGCCGGCCGCGCGCCGCCAGCGCCACGCCCGCCGGGCCCGCCGCGACCGCCGCGCCCCCCGCGCCCCCTGCGCACTCTGCGCCCCCTGCGCACCTTGCGCCCCCTGCGCACCCGCCGCACACGACGCACTTAGCGACAATTGCGCACTCTACGCACGACTTGCACACTGCGCACTTCGCGCACCAAGCGCACACTGCGCACTCCACACACCAAGCGCACTCTGCGCAGTCAGAGCACTCAGAGCACAGTGCGCACATACACACACTCGCGGATCCCGCGCGACTCGACCACATCAAGACACAAATACTCGCAAAGGTAAATTTGAAACCTACATGAACTCCAGTTCAGTACCAATTTACAGGCTACTAAAACGGGATTTTATAACTACAGTGCCCCCTTTTTGCCAGCTTTTGGGGGAAGAATTAACATGACTTGGGAGGTAACCAAATATATGCTACCCTAACACCTGCTCTAAGGAAAATGTAAAAGAGAAACTTCTGTTAAACCGTATAATTGACAGATGCTAGCCACTAGTTTCCATCTAGCTTGCTACTTGCTGAATTTTTAGGTGTGATTTTGTGTTGTTGCAGCTGGGGCTGCGTACGCGACCGCGGCCGCTGGGCGCGCCGCCGCGGGACGTGGTGCGGCAAATCCTGGCGCGCGCCGCCGACACGCACACGGAGCGGCCACCAGAAGAAGACCACAGTATGCGAGAGATCATCGCCATCGCACATAGAGGTTTGAACATCCTGACAACGATGTACAAGTTACGCGAGTTCATAATGATGTTAGTAAAGGAAAACTGATGTTGGTTTGAGATCCACCAACACAGATCTGGTGCGATTTTCATTCAATTTTGTACCTTTTATTCATCAAATTCTATTTTATAGAGAGTGGCTAAATAAATTCAGAAATACAAGTTCTGGTTTAATTTATGAGCTATTTAGGTAAATTGTACAAATGCCTATAATAAATGGAGTAAATTTCCTTACAATTAGTTTATCTGTCATCTTTAGTTAAAGTTTTTATAACTAAAGTAATTTATTACATTTTGTTGAATTATCTTCTTAATTGTCTGTATAAATAGTAGAATAATTTATTTTATTGATCACTGTTTTAATACGTATGAAATGTGCAAGCTTTAGACAGTTTACTAAGAACAGATTTATTTCCATTTTCTTACTATAATATCGCGTAGACATGAGTTTTTTCATCATTTCTGTTATAGTAACGTTTCTTTTGTAGTCGTAATGTAACATACTTGAATGGACAAGTTTTAGATTTTGTCAAATCATCGTCTGCTTGTGTCAGACGTCTGGTACATTTGGGGGCAGCGTTGAATTTATTTTCTCTGTCATTTTCTTAAACGAGTATTCCTTGATCTACTTTATGCTGAGAAATGAAAAAGGTTTTTTTGCCTGATCATTTTAAGTTGTACTTTCTTTTTTATATTCATACTAGCTTTTTCCCGCGACTCCGTCTGCGCGGAGTTCTTCCAGACTATCCTCTACATCTGCACCAAATTTAATCGAAATCGGTTCAGCCGTTTAGGCTACAAACTCTAACAAACATCCATCCATCTAAACTTTCGCATTTATAACTTTAGCAAAGATGGTAATATTTTTGTGTTTGTATGTTTTGTATGAATGTAAATTCCATTGTCTGATGGAGAGTGAATGACTTAACGGATTTTGAAGAGGGAGGTGTCATTTCATTTGACTTTTATCCGGAGTGTCATATACAATGGTACGAAATAAATATAGTGGAGACGCGAATAGAAATTCTAAATAATTTACTGAAAAACCGTGTTTATTTTGATTAAGGTTATGTTATATTATTATTTGTTTTATTCTTTTGTTAATGCCCCTTGAATTACTGGCTGGTAATTCATTGGGTATTAACTTTTTCTCTTACTATTGCAGTTTTGTTTTACGATTTCCAAAAATGCATAACCATTTTATTATCTATTCTGCGTAACAGTTTCAGTTGCATTATCGACTTTATTTTCTGCATGATAAGGATTATGTTTGAAACTGTTGTTGGAAAGTTTTTCGAGTTATATTCAATCGTAAAGTAGAAGTTATTCAGCCGCTCTCTGAAATCCCAGGCGATGAAGTTATTTTTAAGCTTCTAAAGTTTTAGTATACGGTAGACCTATGTACGGCGAACTGACTCATAATTTTCATATTACATTAGATTCACATTAACTAGTATTCTTAAGTTATTCATGTTAATTAAGTTATATTGAAGTTGAATTTGATACAAGTGTGATGTATTTAATTTTTTATAAAGTATGATTTCAGATTTTTAATACAGGGTTGAAAGAAAATTTTTTTATAAAGACTTCAAAGGTAAGATATCTTATAAAGTGTTTTTAAATATTGTTTCTTTTGAATTCTAATTAGGTCTAATATTTGACAAATATAGCAAGAAAGCTATTGTTTAATTTAAAAAAATTTTTGTTTAATTGTTAATATAGAGATATTTTTAATAATCAAACAAAACTCATTGCAATATACCGATAACATAAAACACTAACTTTTGCTCGTAACTACATTCAAGTGGAATTAAAAAAAACCTAAATATCCTATGTGTTCTTCAAGATTATCCTCTACATTTTTGCCAAATTTCATCAAGATCGGTTAAGCAGTTTAAACAACAAACTCTAACAAACATCCATCCATATTTTCGCGTTCACAATAGTAAAATTACAGTGAACCATATTTTCAAATTCATAAAACATCGAATGTAATCGTAAATCAGCCATCGATCTATTTCTCTTCCACATATAAATAGTCTCGTAAAATCTTCCCCGCCCAACCGTTGTTCAAATTAATTTTATTTTGAACCTTATTTAGTTGAGATAAAGTATATTGTTTAATGCTCCGTGTGATGGCTTTTATTTATTTTTTTAATAAATGGTTAAATTTCATAATGTTCTTAATTTGCCTAAATATAATAAATTATGATTTGATATATTTTCTTAGGAATACTTCACCTAATTTTGATTGTAGGTTTATATATTTTTGCATCTATTTTCAGACATTATGAGGCTTTCGATGGACGGCGCCATGAGAGAAAAATGTTTAACATATCAGTGGAGTCGATAATAATGTAAGTTATTATTTTATGTAATGTAAGGAGGCTGAAAACCAGCGCGTCCCTCAGTAACAAGCTGTAGACCGCATCAGCTGAGCCTTCTCATTTGGCCAGGAATTGATTTCTTATTTTTATTTCATTAATATGGTTTGTAAGTATTGTTTCTTTTGAGATTTCTTGGACAATCAATAGTGCTTCATTATTTTATTTGTTTTTTTATTTAAATAAAATTGTAAGAAGCGATTTTTCTAAAAAAATTCTAATCCTTTGCAACTCTTCACAAACGATCACAAATTTTATTGAAGGAAGTGTCTTTCTTACATCCTGAAAAAGCTTATCTCCAATTAAATTACTAATATTATAAATGCGAACATTTGGATTAGTGTAAGTAAGTATAGATGTAAAAAATAGTCGCGAAAAGAGTGCAGGCATTTACATAAGTTTTAATAATTCCGCGTGGTTGGGATCGATGGGCGACATTTCGCCTATAAGTGTAAAATTTACTTAAAACTATGCAACGATGTAATATCAATCTATATAAATCCCATGCAATTATGTTTGTAAGTTTGTATGTAAGTGGTATCATTCTGGCAGAGTAAAGCTCTCACAATGATGGCGGGGGTTACGTAACGCCTACATTTGGGAGGCAGCCAGACTTCGGGATGACCATACCCGCCTTTACAGTGTTGCTATTTAAATTTACTTTGTCTAAAAATTGGAAAATAATATTGGTATTTATGAAGTCTAAAACTACTCCAAATAGTGTAAATAAAGTGTATTAGCTAGTTTTTTTTAGTAGTTTCTCCTAAAAGTTAGCTTTAAAGTGCCTAAATTCTTAAATCGGGTTTAACAGGAGTTTAACTGGTACATTTCAAGCTTATACATGCAAGAATAATTTTGATTGTTATAATAGAGAAAAAAAATAGTATTTAGAAAAATAGACATTTTTGATTATTTATTGAAATAGGTTTAACATTATATGACCGAACTAATTTTTCTACATACATATATACTAGATATATGTATGTAATAATCTATGAATGACAATAATTAGACATGTACCATTCAATTTTTTAAACTTTTGTAAACTATGGCATGGAATAAAAGGCTTTTTTATTTTTATTTTTATTTTTAATTATTTATTATTCCTGCAACGACAATTTCACGGGCTATTAAATAAGGGACAGCCTTAGTAACAATTGACCGACTATGAGTACGGAGGTAGTTTAATGTTCTTGATAATCAATCTTTGTTTATAATCAATTAAAAATATAAAATACAATAATTTCAAACAAAGCTCTACGAAGTCCTTAAAAGCGTTGCAACAAAAATATGCGCAGGGAAGCTCGCCAAGTCTTATAGAATTTATTAACATGCATTTTAACTGAAAAGCATTGTAACTAGAAAATAATTACAGCTTTAAAAGCAACAACGATTTACAACTTGTATTTAAATGAGTTCGAAGAGTAATCATAGGGTATATTGCATGACGAATCGTATTCAAAACTTCATCGACATTTGTGTATTTTTGGTGCACTTTGCGCATGGTAGAGGGCGCTATAAATCTAATAAATTTTTGGAAAAAAATAGTCTGAAAAACCAGGATTTTTTTTTAACATGAAATTTTTTTTTGCATATTGTATAGAGCGTTATTCGTAAATTTTTCGAGCATTTTTAAGTAATTGGTTATTCAAACATAAATAAAATAATTTCTTAAATTTTAAAAAAAGTAGAACATACATTTAATAAAAGAGATAAACGATTGAAACACAATGTATAGTCAAAGAGCTGAATTACAAAACAATTGTTAATGATACTTCGAACAACACATTTTCTCAGCCAACAGAACTCTGAGGCTATCGGCATAGGGTGCGGTGCGAGTGCTGGCGTAACAGCGATCCATATATCAGTATAAAGGAGACGTTATTGCAGCGAAAAATCCCTTTATCTTACCCCATTACATTCGCTAAAAATGTGACTCCGACTTTACATTCCGCGTTCTTCACTTGTACTAAATCAAAATTATGCCTCTCGGGAGGCAATAAAATTTTAAAGTTAAATTTTGTTGCGTCGCCTATTGGAATAATATAAAGTGTGCAGTAAATCTGCACTATATAACGGTTTGTAATCATCTTGATACTTTGGGGAAAAACTGTTATGCAATAGTAGTTAAATATGATGCAAGTATTAGAAAATAAAATTACTAAAAATCACAAAGTCTTACAAATAAACTCGGTACAGTTAAAGTTAGGAATAATTTGAGTACTTAAAAGCAAACATTTGTACTAACATTTGCTTATACTCAGTTTATTCCTAAATTTAACTTTATACGGCGTTTATTTGTAAGGCTGATAAAGATTTCGTAGAATGTACTATGTAGAACATAGTCTGGAAGAACACATAGGCTACTAAGTTTTTAAATTCCGCGTGGATGGAGTCGTGGGCAAAAGTTAATGTTAAATAATTTTAAAAGCAACAGAATATACCTTTTTAAAATAATCTGTTTTTCGTTTTCAGACGCTTCGTAGACATCGCCACGTGCAATTGGAAATCTTGAAGAAATACATTAAGATAACAGAGAAAACTTCTAATTTTAACATGACACTTTAACAATCATGTCCATTTTCTTAGAGATATTGTGAGTTGTAATAATTTTTGTTTGAGTCAACCAGAAACGCAGCATAATACTTTGTTCTAATAACAGTAAGAAATAGGGCAATGAACTTGTAGAGTCAATTCTTGCAAGCGATTTTCTCGCCTCTAAATCGTATTCAGATTGCAAAATGTAAATATATTTTATTTATAGTAACAACTCCATTAATGTTTTATCTATTGTTTATGTTCATTATTCTTTGTTTTTAAATGTTTTTATTACTATAATTATTTGAACCGTGTACAGCAATCACAATTTTATTATTACTTTTTAAGAATGAAAATTTTCAAGTTTTTGATTGCTGTTTTAAACTTTTTTACTTAATGTTTTTGTCACCTAATGTATTTTATTGTATCTGTATATTATAAGTCAGAATGTTTAAAAAACAATTATACAGATATTTTGAATAAAAATTATACATAAAACAATCATGGTAGGAAAAATTCTTCGACACTATAGAAGGCTTTTTGTATTAGCCATGACTTAAGTTTATTTTTAAACAGCTGGTAGTCGCTGTGAAGTAATCCGGCACGCGGTTGTAGACCGCGGGCCCCATGATCGTGGATTTTTATGTATTCTTTCTTCCTTAGCTCTACAGCCCTTTGTGGTCCTTGGCTTGGTCAAGTAATTTTCACTTCGGTCTATTAGTGGCTACCGATTTCCAGTTTATTATGCCAACATTCAATGCGTCACAATTTACACTGTCTACCCATCTCAACTTTGGTGTTCCTCGATCTCGACGACCTTCAGGGTTGCTCGCTATATATTTATGTAAAACAAACTTATAATACGAAGTTAAACAAATGTAAACGTTAATTTAATTAAAGTTTTAAATTATAATACCGCTTGTTATTTCCAGACATTTCTAGAGGTTGTATGAAAAATCGCATTCAATGATATTCTCTTATCAAATCACGCTGTTACCCTTTTGAACTATGACTTAATGTAATAGGCAAAGAAATATCAAATAAGGAAAGTCTGTTATAACTTCTTAACAATGCGTTGTCTACCTTTAATTTGACTCTTCATTTACTTTACAATATTTATAACTTATTTACTGAGAACATTGTTAATTACTTGTATTTATTTTTTAACATTTAACGTAGGCCTCTTCTAGAGGATGTTTAAATTGCACACAATAGTTATTTGTCATTGAATTTCAAAAGCTTTCCGTCGTTAAGAAAGGCAAAGGAAATGTCCTTTTTCTGTGCGTTACTTTCCGTCCATTACAACGCTGCAATTACTGATGTCAGCACAGCGTTGGCTTTGCTATTCCAGAGAATTTAACCGCTTGCTTGTTTGCCATCTTAAAATGTATTGCTACATGTGTAGTGAACTGTGGTTGTAAATAGGACCCCTGCGGGCGTTTGACCTCCTATCTGGAAAATGATAAGACGGGCAATGATCTTAAAGCTACCAACATTGTTTAGGTGCATTTCCTTTTATATTATTGACAAAGAGCCTTCAAAAAAGGTCTTTGTGATTTGATAAGAGATTTGATGATAGAAAAATGAATTGGTACTTTAGAGTCTTTTTAAGTTTAAAATATGAGTGTAATACGTGATATAATTTACAAAATAATAATAAAACATTATGAGATATTTTGTGTTTGTTTTATTCTCTATTTCGTGTCTCGTTTTTATTACCTTTTACTACACTTGATTATCTATATTATTATTATAAAGTGGAGAACTTTGCTTGTTTGATTGTAATGAATACACTCAAAAACTACTGGCCAATTTAAAACATTCTTTTAACGTTAGAAACGTAATTTATATGTTAGTAACATAGGCTATATTTTTACAATTCTTTATCTATATAATATAGCAAAAAGACACACTACTTTGTGGTGTAGGACGTCAGCAATCACGGCATATTTTTGAATAATTCCTTCTTTAATGAAAAGCCATACACTAACACGTTTTAGGTTATGTATTTTCACGCTATAAACTTAAAGGGTAAATAAATTGGAAAAAACCACATGTAGAAAAGGGACCATAAACTACAAGTCAACAATAAGGAAGCAAGGTTATTATGGTAACGGTAATTTTGACATTTGCAATTGAGAATTTGACAAATGTAAACAATACATATAGTTTGTTTATAATATTGTGCGGATAAAGCCGCACAGGAACAGCTTGTTAGTTATTATTTTTAAATTTCACGCGGAAGGAGTCGCGGGAAAAGGCTAGTACATTAATTAAACAAGTGCAATCGCACTGCAGAGTTTACCTTACTATTATCTTAGTGACCTTTGTCAACATTAAATATTGTTTGTTTGATAGTTGTTGGTACTTAGGATACAAAGATTGAAGTTAATAGCTAACTCAAAACGTTTTAATATCACAAATTAAATAAAAACATTCTGCGATTTAACATCAAAAATACATTGTAATAATTCATAATACATCATCAACTTGCCCTCATCCCTTACGGAGGGTCGGCACAGTATGTGCTGCTCCATACATCTCTATCAGCCGTCATATCTGAAATCACTTCTTTCTTAAGCATATCCTCTTACACACAATCCATTCATACTTTCTTCTGTCTTCCTCTTCCTTTGTAGCCATCCACATTCATTTTTAATACATTCGTAATATGAATACAATTCGTAATACACGAACAATGAAAAACAATACACAAAGCTTGAAAATGATTCATCACCAGCTCACTATACGTCCCCACTGAAGGGTTCAAAGCATACCCTAAGTTAGAGGTGACTAGGCCATAGTCAACAACGCTTGACGGTTAACTTCACACATATTTGAATTCGCCGCTATGTGCAGGTATCGCAGTTTTCCTTCACCGTATAAATGTCGAGTAAATTATGTATGAAATTCGTAAATCTAAAAACACATACATGGCAGGAACTCCAGGAACTCTGTTGATTACAAGTGCAAGTACAAACCCCAGAACCACCTCAATGACCTTAATCAGCGAAGTAATTCAAAGATATGTGAAGACAATTAGCTGCGTACCAGTGTGTTAGACTATGGCCTAATCACCTCTTATTTAGGATAGTTTCTAAAGCCCTCAGTGAGATTATGATGATTTTTGTTTTGGACTAAAGGATCAATATAATTTAGGGTTTAAATTGTGCTAGAAATTGTAGACCAAAGAATCTAGAAAGATAGAGCTTTGTTAGAGTCAATATGAGTCACACGCGAACGTTTTCCGCGGTTTTAATTGGCAATCGATAGATAAAGTGTCAACTTTGCCCCCAGCTACAATGTTACAATGTAAAAACTAATTCGTTGCAATTCGTTATCAACAAATAGCGGATGCGCTCGCACGTGTAAAGTGTATTATCGATTCCATATGTAACAATAATTAACATTAAGTTTTTCTCATATTTCTATTAGAAAATTTAAAAATTAACATGAAACTAAAAAGTAATGAACTGTAATTTTTAAAATAACTTTTAGATAAAATTCTAATTTATTGTAAGCAAGTATTTAATGTAAGATTCAAACAGAAAGTTCAAAGTTCACTTAAGCTCTTAACATCTCACTTCCAATTAGAGTTAAGATTCACCATTTGCTTAAAACTTAAGTACTTAATGTACACGTGTACTTAAAAATTACGTAAACCTGTATTGAATAGTGTTTTAAATATCAGTTTTAGTTAAGTCAATATTTTTATAAGCCCTTACCTGCGCTTAGTAAATTTACTTCTTAGAGTAATGAAGGTAATTTTCAGAAAAACTTACAAGCTTTTAACTGTAATTTGTAAGATAATCTTTTAAATATATCCTAAGTACCTTAAACAGGCATTGTTTTTTTTGTAACTAATTGTATTTTAAAAGTCTTTGTTTAAGCTTTAATCTTCAGAGAACAAATAGAAAATGTTCTACGAACATTCTAGAAAGTTCTTAGTACTAATTTTGTGTTATAGTTTACGCAAAACAAAAGATCTAAAAGATTTTTTAAAACCAATTTTATTAATGGTCGGTTTATACCTGGCCAGTACAATTGGTTAGTAATGCTCAATAACTGGACTGGCATTCAACTGGAACACGAATTGATGCCAGTGAGTCCATACAATCAATGACTGACGCAACTGGCATAAAATGGCATGGCATAATGGCATAAAATTAACAAATCAGTAAATTCAACTATTGAACTACCATATACAAGACAAATCTATACTAATATAATAAAGCGTAAAAACACACTTCTTTGTTGCCTAAGATGTCAGCAATTACAGCATATTTTTGAAAAATTATTTTATTAATAAAAAGCCCTACACTTACGTCACGCTTTAGACTATATATTTTCACGCCATTAAACTTAGGGTATAAATATTTTGGAAAAAACCCTAATGCGAGACCATAAGTGCTCCCAACATCAAGAAAGAAAGATTGCTAAGGTTTGTCATGTCATTTTGACATTTGCTATTGATAATTTGACAAATGTAAATAGTAAAATATTTTTTTTATAATTTCATGCGGATGAAACCGCACAGGAACAGCTAGTTATTAATAAATGATTATTACTAAGAAGAGATTATGTTCAAATTACAATGTTTGTTTGTTCTTATCTAAACTGATTAAATTTGTTGTTACATTAAGACGAAAAATGTTCAATTCTACACTTCGCACTTAGATACTTAAAATTAATAGTTAAACAGTATTTAGTGTGGATTTCTCTCATTAAATTACACTAAGGAATTTGAGTGATCATTAATAGATTATTTTTGTTATAAAGGTGTATTACTAGACTAGCTGTTGCTCGCGACATCGTTCGCGTGAAATAAAAAAAATAATAGCCTATGTTACTCACAGATACACTAGTAGTTTTTACGTGAACCGAATATTACAAACATAAATCCAAAAATGTAAATCTTTTCTCTTTATATCTTATTAGTACAAGCTGTTTCCATGCGACTTCATCCGCATAAAATGATAAAAAAATCATTTTATTGTTCACATTTGTCAAGTTATTGCAAATGTCAAAATGACATGACATCATGTCAAACCATGGCAACCTTGCTTCCTTAATGTTGGCAACAACTTATGGTCTCTTTCCCATATTAGGGTTTTTATCCAAAATACTTACCCCTAAGTTTAATGGCGTAAAAATATATAGCCTAAATCGCCACGTAAGTGTAGGCCTTTTTATTTAAAAAAAGAGTTATTCAAAAATATGTTGTAATTGCTGACATCTTAGGCAACAAAGAAGTGTGTGTTTACGCTTTATTATAATAGTATAAAGTTGACTAGATAGATATGATTCTTGACTTCGTTTACGCGGCATTAAAAAAACATAGTAACTAAGTAACCTATATACTCTTACAGACTATGCTCTACATCTGTGATATATTTCGTAAATTTTTGCATTTCAATTATTACTAAGAAATAATATTACTATACTCAGAATTGATTTGTTTTCAATATGTCTTTGTGTTTGCGTAATATTACGCACTATCAACTGTTAATTAAACTTATGTTATAACATTGTAATTTTCCTGTTTATTTTATCAAGCTTCAAATCACATCTCTAAATAATTCTTGTCTGTAGCTAAATTACTATTTCAATTAAAAAAATAGCGATAACTGAATACCGTAACAAATAAGTTTTCTAACACGTTAACGATTTACACAAAGGATATTTGTACTTATTCGAATAGTTTTAGAGTTGTAATTGCTTTGTAAATTATTGTCAGTGATTGTAATTTGCCGTGTGTACGGGAGTAGTGACTTTATAGAGGTATATGTGTACAAATGTTTATAATATACGGACATTGCTCTTTGTGATATGATAGAGAGGGGCAAGGCCCTCATGGAAAATGTTCAAAGACATGACCTGTGCTAAGTATATACCTCGCAAAAATTATACATACGCCTGAACCCAATAACCAATCCTGAACATTGATCTGAAAATTCTTCTAATTTTTCAGCACTAATATAAACCGTTATGCTTAGAGCGGGCGCACACCTTTGACTAAAAGACAACTGTTGTGCGATTGTCGATTGTTTTGCAGCCAATTCAACTGTTTAGTTGCACAAAAATCTAGTAGTCTCCGGACCTTCATATACATAAGTTCATACGAATCAAAGCGAGACTAAAGAGTTGTGCAATAGTTTAATTTCAGGGCAGGGCACGCTCTTTTGTAAATCGATATCTTTTGAACTAGCCATTTTTAGTTAAATAAAGAAATGGTTTAAAAATATCAATTTAAATACCTTAGAAAAGAATAAATGGTTCAAAATCGACGATTAAATTAGATTTAACTAGTATTATAAATGCGAAAGTTTAGATGAATGTTTGTTACAGTTTGACGTATAAACGGCTGAACAGATCACGATGAAATTTGGCATAAATTTAGCAGTCTGGAAGAACATATAGTCTATACTCTTATTTTGTAAAATGTACAGTCAATATTACCTTTGAAGTCATTTAAATACTATTGCATTATTTTGCTAGCTTGTCCTATTTAAAAATTACTTTTCACTTAAGTTATCAAATTCCTGCATATCGAAGTATCTCTCAAAATTGTTATGTATAATTTTAGAAACAATATTCGGTGACTAAACATATCTCAGATCTGTATATACTTAATTCACGTCTTCCGAACTAGAAACACTTGGCGTTGCTAAAAGAATGGAAACAAAACATAATAATTGTCATAATCTACTAAAACGAACATTCCCAGCTTGTTATTGTAAACTGCTACATTCCTCTTTTCTTATGCACTTTGGTTGCATAAGGCAGGGGTGACGAACCTTTAAACATCAAAGTACCAATTTAAAAAAAAGTTTAATGTGCCATCAAGTAATTTTTGACTATTTTTAAGTTAATTTCATAATAACATCGAGTTCGCTTTTTATGTAATATCTACTTCATACTTTTTCGTAGTGTTTTTATGATCATTGACGTGCCCAAAAATGTGTCTTGTGTAATGGCACGCGTGCCTATGGTTCGACACCCCTGCTGTAGGGATACTTTTATTTTAATTTAGTATACCTAAGTCGTTACATAATTATGGTATATACAAAGTATAAGAAATAGTAAGCAGTATTTTTGTTATAGTTTTTACAAAATGATGTTTTAAGTTTTCTGACAGTAAAATGTTGATTATCAGCAAACTTAAATTAAAAAGTATTGATAAGAGAAATGTTTGTTATGTTATTTTACATCTTTTTGTAAAATTTTAATGGATTTATTTAACCTTAACCTCTAAAATAAAACCATCAAATTACTCGTTCATCTCTGTTTTTTCACGACTGAGGCCGGTGATTTGTAAGTGAATATTACGACACAAGGCTGTGCGGACACTTACTAATGCTTATTTAATAACTATATTTAGCAATAAACTACAAAAAATGTAAACTCATCGCTTTACTAAAAAACAAACCGAGCAATACTGTTCAATAAGTAACTATTCCATGAATAAATATACAATACGACTTCGCTCGCAAGAAATTAAAAAAAACTATAATATGTAGCCTATGTAACTCACAGATAAATTATCTTTCCAATGGTGAAAGAACTTTTATAATCAGCCCAGTAATTTTTGCGTGAATCAAATACATACAAAAATCCAAAAATAAAAATCTCTCCTCTATAGAATATTAGTATATAAGTATAATGTAGTTTAGTAATAAACATTAATAAAAACTTGTAAATGCAAAGACTAACGACGCTATAAATTTCGGTTATACACCGTTTACATAATTCCAGTCCAGCGATCGAAGTCAGCGCTAATCAGTTGAAAATCACTTGAAAATCCAACATGGGATTAATATTTTTAAGTTCTAATCTAGCGCTGTTTTAGATCACTGGATTGGAATAAAATAAACCAGATAACGGGAATTTCGAAAGTAGATAATTTAAGCATGTTTTAAAGCTCTACGAAGGTTCTTTCTTATTCTAAGAACAATAGATAATCCAGCTATTGTTTTGTAGTTTCCAAGTAATAGTTCAATACGTGCTGTGTAAATATTTATACTATTGTTAATTAAGTAATCAGATTATCATATTTAAGATGTAACTTAATTGAATTAGTTTGGGAGGATTTTGTATGTCATTGTTCACTGCTTTGTACTCTTAGGGTGAGTTGCACCATATCACCGGTTACCGTTAAAGTTAAAATTATTTGTAACGGTAATATTTGGAATAACCTTAAAATTTACTAAGGGTGAGTTACATTAACTAACTATAAACCTTAACCAGCACATTCACGATGGTTACGTCTACGGATGTTCATGATATTCGCTACACCAGTTTTGCGCTGGTCAAAATGACGTCATATATGACACTAATCATAACCGCCCGATTTTGGGCGGTTATAATTAGCGTTACGGTTAGTGTCAGTTCGGTAGTGTCAACTGTCACAAGCTCTTATCTTCAAAAGTACAAATAATGGAAAAAGTAATGGAAAAAGAAAATCTCTACTATTATCCTATACGTAATCCAGAAGAATAAAGTCTTGCGTGCTCGGGAATAATGGATTTCCAAGATGGAACTCGAAATTTGGCCAATCATTCAGTTTGGACAAATTTCGAGTGTCTAAGGCCATAGCAACAGCGCTTGTCCCTTTTCTCTTATTTAAAAAAAATGTCCTCCATAAAAGGACAATTTATAATATGCATTGAGAGGACAATTTATAATATGGCAAATAAATAAGACGCATTTATATTTGTATAATTTTATTGTTTCATTTTTGCTACATATTTGAGTAGTAAAGTAAATACAGTTTCAATAATGGCCCAAACTAGGTTATTTTCACAAGAGTTTGCCATTTTCTCCATCTCCGTGGGCAAAAAGTTTATGTCACTATAAAATACCATGCGTATGATACATAAATATATACGGCGAAACATGAATTTCCAAACATTTTAATTTACGTAAATGTCATTCTTGACACCAACTTGACACTTTAGTGACATTCAGGTTTAAATGTTTCCATTGTAAAAACGAAAAACACATAAAACCTCTGTGAGAATATGTTTTTGCACTTGTAACCCTATTAACTATAACTATAACTTTTACGATAACCGGCGATTTGATGCAACTCACCCTTAGATTTATAAGTAAAGTGTTTTGTTTGATTCAAATTGTTTTACTCGTATGAAAGGACCTCCAAATGTGTATAAAATTCAATGCGTATTCGTCACTTATGCGTTATTAAAACACTGGAGAGATTGTAATTTTGATATTTGTAATTGATAGTTTAACAGATTGAAACAATAAAATCAAATTTTCATAATTTCATGCGGATGAAGTCGCACGGGAACAGCTAGTTTATAATAATTATTCTACACGAGCTGTTGACCGCGACTTCGTCCGCGTGGTATTAGAAAACGTACGAACTATATAAATAACAAAAAGCTACGTATCCCGCGGGAACCGAACACCTCGGGGATGAAGCTTATCCCATGTATACTCCAGACTTTGTTTTACATCTGTGCCAAATTTCAATAAGATATGTTGAACCGTTGCAAAATGATCGAGTAAACATTAAAAAACTAAATTAATGAATCCCACGGGAACTGTAACTTATCCCGGGATAAAAAGTAGCCTGCCAAATGTCATGGAGATCCGTTCAGCTGTTTAGGCTACAAACGCTAACAAACATCCATCCATCCATCCATGTAAACTTTCCCATTTATAATATTATTCTACATTATTGTACTGTGGGCATAAATCTAATTAGTTATTCGTACTATTTGTACATCTTTTGCCCGCTGACAACAAAATATCTATCTTCTATTCTCTAACAAGTTCTCAGTAACCGTCCTTAGGTGACCTTTGTCTTAACGGCCATTATCGTCCTGTAAACATATTTATTAAAATTCATAATTCGAATTCGTATCCCGCTCCCTGATTGGTCGACAGTGGTCACTGCATCTATAAAATTGGTGGAGGGGCGGCGCGTCCTGCATATGCTTTCCGGTAGCTACGGGAGCAACACGTCAGTTTAGTATTCTTAGATTAATTAAAGACTGATACATAATTAAGTGTTAACTTTAAGCCCCTGCAAAATGGGGACAAGTAGAATAAGTTTTTCAACACTCAGTGTTTTAATAATACTTGCTGTATTATGGAGGCCCGCGTATACTGGTGAGTATTACTTAAACCCTATTTTTAAAAAACTATCCAAGTTTAAAAAAAGTCCAACGAGAAGTAGAAATTTGCTTAATTACTACTTTAAATTTAGTAAAAAAAATGTTTAACCATTTCTAAACTTTTAAAAGCCTTATTCAAGTTAAAGTTGCTTTCTAGTCTGTCTTAATTGTCATTGCAATTTTCATAATATTTCTACAGCTTACCATCGCTGGTAACCTTTTCATCACATTGTTACTGCAAGAGTTATTCCAATAAAGTTTGGAAATGTATATCTTATAAAATGTAATTTTTTCAACATTTATTATTTAAACTTAGCACCATTAATAAACAAAAGTAATATATTATTAATCAATGTGAGCTTTCCTAAGTTATCACAAATGTTAGAAATTGTTTAAAGTTCCATGCCACAAAATGAGCTTTCACCAAAGTTTTCACATCTTATTGTCGTCTATATTTCATAATACATATGTTCTATGCACTTATAATGGTATTTAGTAATATCATTGTGTTTTATTCTCTAGATCTTCAAAGAAGCGCTACGAGGAAAAAAAATTTAGCATTTTCCAATAAAAAAGACATGAATGTTTTCACATTGGGCGGGCGCTTGGCTAGGCATTAGTTGCCCATGTAGACAATGCAAACATGTAAATTAAATAAATCTTTCATATAAGACCATCATTGGTAGCTGCACCCTAGACTTAGTCTAAATTTTTGTCTGGTGCCGCCTGTGTCGTATGCTCTAACAGAAAATGTCATTTAGTGGTTAGATAGATTATGTAAATTATGAAATCTGCACGTTTTCGAATATAAAATTCTATATTCTTACGCAAATCTATATTTTGCAATGAATGCAGAAAAATATGTTCCTACATAGCTATCGTTATTGAAAAATAATTTGTTACTATTCAAAGTTCTCAAATACCCCAATTACGAACTTATACACTTGGGAGTTAAAAAAAACCTAATCACTAAGAAAGGATTTTTTTAACAATTCAAATGCACTAAATTCGACAAATAAAAACATTTCTCTCGAAAGTTCTACGTTAAAGTTCCAAGTATTAGAAGACCATGGCACTTTTACATCTACCAACAATGTTGTTAAAGACATTTAAATATGAATTCACATTATCCATTTTATAACGATATCTTTGTTGTTGTAGCTCGGAGATAATTTGCACTTCGCAATAAACAACTTGCGATAAACAGCAACTTTGACCCGAGATTATAATATTATCACGCTCCTGTCATTGACAATATTCAATGTAACATTCGTCACTTGAAGACATTTAAATAATATTGATAGACAGAACATAATTAATCAAACGTGCACTATCTTACTAATATTATAAATGCGAAAGTTTAGATGGATGGATGGATGTTTCTTAGAGTCTGTAGCCTTTACGGCCGAACGGATTTCGATGGAATTTGGTACAGATGTAGAGGATAGTCTGGAAGAATACATAGGGTACTGACTTTTGTTTTTTTTTAACTCCGCGCGGACGGAGTCGCGGGCAAAAGGCAATTTTAATTCTCACTTAATATTTTAACTTTAGAAGCTCGTTATCATGTTTGTTATGACTTTGAGAGAGGAAAGATAAAAAAATACTGTTATACCTAATTCTCCTTGACAATGACCATTGGTAACATTATTTGATTACTCTTGGAATACTGATAACGCAAAACATTCAATGACCAAATTATCTTGACCCCTGCCCTCCTTATCGCGGTACATCGGCTTGGTGACAATTCGCAATTTCAGCAATAGTTATGTAATTTAATGATATTTATTCCTCAGAACTCGTTATCTTAAATATGAAAGGCTATTTACTTACATCAATGTGATCACAAATTATTTTTATTTCTCATGTTACAATTTACAATACAAATTAGATCAATACAAGACCGGATGACTCTTTAAAGGCTAATTTATGAACTCTCGACAACCCGACAAACGCATTCAAATCTAGCTCATGAGATTTATTATTTGATTATTTAATTACATCGAAAATAAGTCTCGCATAAGCGTGTAAAACTAAACTATGGTAAAGAGATCAAATCATACTAATATTATAAATGCAAAGGTTTAGATAAATGAATGGATGTTCGTTAGAGTTTGTAGCCGAAACGGCTAAACGGATTACGATGAACTTTGTCATGAATAGTCTGGGAGAACGCATAGGCTACTTGCATTTGTTTTTTTTAATACCGCGCGTATGGAGTCGCGGGCAAAAGCTAGTAATATCATAAATAAGTGATCAAAAATGTGTTCTGTCTAAAACTAGAAAAGAAACTTGAGAGTTCATGAACAATAAAATTGCATAAACGCGGTAATGATACTTAATGTGTCGTCTTTCATAGGACCTATAGACTTAATTAAAAAAAAAATTAACACTTGTATCACAATAAGCTACTAGAAGCACGGACCATGTAAAAATATGGTAAGACCGTGCTTCGTGAAAACTTAAAGACCGGTGAGAAAGTATCATGTAGTTAACTAAAGGTAATTTAGTATGACAACTGAATACCGACAAACACAGGACCCTCTGGTTATCCGTTCCCAAATAAAACTATAAAGACAAGTCCCCCTATGGTTCGGTCAAATTGGGTAATTGCGATTTGCGGTCGTCCGCCGGCAGAGCGCAGAGAAATTGTCACAATATTCATACGTCAAATGCAAATGAAAAATGAATTGGTTGTTGAATAACATCAAGCTTAATTTATTTAGTGCTTTTTACGATGATAGTTGGTCACTGTCGTTTACTATCTAGTTTTATAAGTAGACTAGCTTTACACGCGACTCCGTCCGCGTGATATTAAAAAACCAAGTAGTTTAGGCTGTTTAGCTACAAACTGTAACAAACATCCATCCATCCATCTAAACTTTCACATTTATAATATTAGTATGAAATATGATAGTCACCGATATTGGAAGCTTATTCTTTATTTTTTCAAATACGAAATATATTCTATGAACAGAGTACATTATCCCGAGAGCTATAAAAATGTGAATTCAAAATATTGTCATAATAAAAAATAACGTTAAAATTCATCAAGCTTTATCTAAATTCAGCAGAATGTTATAACTATAGCGTATAACTAGTGGAACTTTTAGATAATGTAACTTAATTACTCTTACAATATCTTAATCTGTTTACTTAAATCAACAAGCAACGAGAAGTAATTGTAGCAATAATAATTATCAATTAGTAAACAAACAAAATAATTATTAATCAAACATCATAATTGTAAGCCAATTACTTGCTATCTCTAATAAACAAGGAAGGGTCAAGGTACAATGGTCGAGCTGGACGATTAAGTTTCAAGTTCCGGGTCTTTCTAGGCGACCTTTTAGTGACTCAGTAGAGACATCTATGTGGGGATATTCCAAAGCCTAACTGATAAGCTATTACAACACGAACACGATAACATGGCACCTGTGTGTTACATCGTGTAGCTTTTAGTATACTTAATGTCTTTTGTTAATAAATATTCTTATTTGTTACAGATAAATGCTCAATATCATGTCATGGATGTAAGTATTACTATTTTAAAAACCTTTTCTTTCGCTTTGGGTAACAAATAATATTCCTACGATAAAAACTTTATAAAATAATTTCACACTGAACCAATGATTTCCAACTTTTGAACATTCAAATCTTTGTCTTTTTAATATCTTTACAGATTAAATAAAAAATAATCACTTTCTTTTTTAAGGAATTATTTTAAACTGGTATATTTTTACCTTAGCATCGTCATCACCGACATTCCTCCCCGGCCACACTTACAACTACGGCGTGGACGGCGCCGTATCCGTGTACGTCACTGGCGCTGAAAAGCAGCAGACTGGCGTCAAGATCTTCGGTCAGGTGTCTGTCAGCGTGCTGGGCAACTGCGGGTACTCGCTTAAAGTCAACTCCATGACCATATCTGGTCCCGATGGCAAGGTACGATAGGATTTTACTAATTTAACATTAAGTAAAATTCAATTTTAAAGACTAATTGCTTTTCTTTAAGGTAAATTTAGCACACTCATCACAAAATATCTGAATTCATATTTTTCTGTGCAGAAATATCCGAGCCCGAATGGCATAGACAAGGTCGTGCGGTTCAGTTTGCAAGATGGCCGTGTGGGCGCGGAGATCTGCGCGGAGGAAGGTGACACTCGACGCTCGCTCAACATCAAACGAGCCATCATCTCGCTGCTGCAGACGGAACAGAAACCTTCCACTCAGGTGGATGTGTTTGGTTCGTGTTTCACGGAGGTGTCGGCATCCCAAGAGGGCGGCGCCACACTGCTGCACCGCAGCCGCGACCTCACGCGCTGCGCTCACCGTGAGCAGGGCCGCAACGATTTCATCACCGCCGTTTACAACCCTACTGCTGTAAGTTTTACCATCTTTTCTTATAATCTCCATGATTTTTTACGTTTGACTTATTACTTCAATACAAAGAATTCTTGATTACTTGCTACTTCTCCACATATCAACGGCAACCAATGATTGCCATATGCTACGTAATTTCACCGAATTCTTCGTGTTACTAGGAAATCAAGAACACTCAGGTGCTCCAATCTACTTTGAATGTAGAATCAAAGGTGAACAACGGCGTACCTGAGAAGATATCGGCCACCGAGGAGTACCTGTACAAACCATTCTCTGTAGGAGAGAATGGCGCACGTGCGGAAGTCCTCACTAAACTCACGCTCACTGGAACAGCACAAGGCGGAGCTAACCCAGGTAAAAGATCACAAATTTATTATTAAATCTTTATTATTATTAAAGCAGCTTTAACCAAATGGGAGAGGGTAAATATCACTTTACTTTCTGTCGCAATTTGTAGCAAAAAATAATACAAAGCCAATTTCTAGGCAACTGTCCTGAGCAACGTACTATAATCTTCGAGAACCCGCACGGCGCTGTCTCTGACCACAGCAACCTGAGGAACGCTCTCGACGCACTCAAGGAAACCAGCAAGTCTTTACAATCCGAAGCCTCTGAGAAATCAGCCGGCAAATTCGCACAAGTTGTTAGAGTAAGTAATTCAAACAAAAAAGAAACAAGTATAAGTAAATAAAAGCTATATGAAAGAATGAATTGTTTAACAGAGAAAAGCAGAAGTTTCAGATTCCTCTTAATATTTACTAACCCTTAAAAAACATTTTTCATTTTAGGTCCTTCGCAACACCAACAAAGATGATCTAGTCAAGCTCTTCAACCAAGTGAAAGGAAACAGCTTAGAAAAGTAAGTTTATCATGCTTTATCATGCTAAAATGAAACTGTTTATGCTCTGATATATCTCAAGATAATTTATATATTTGTTAATTTCATAGACGTGTGTTCTTGGACGGTCTTCTCCGAGCTGGCACCGGATACAGCATCGAGGCCTCTATTCAGATCCTTAAAGGACGAGAACTGTCAGGTTTGGAAGAGAAACTGGTCTTCCTTTCGCTGGGTAACGCAAGACACGTCAATGATGAAGCTATGAAAGCAGCTGCTGTAAGTTCTGTTTTATAATAGAAATAATTAAAAACTGTGCGAAATGAAAGATTAATGTGGTAGTGATTCTGATTTTTTTTTAACCCCAAAATTTTTGCAGACCATTTTGGACAGAGGTAATATTCCCAAAGAAGTGTACTTGGGTGTCGGAGCACTAGCGGGCGCGTACTGCAAAGAGCACAATTGTCATTCGAGCAAGTCCGAAGGCATTGTTGCACTCAGCAAGAAGTTGGCCGCTAAACTACAAAACTGCAAGCCTAAAACCAAAGTCGAAGAGGACTATGTGAGTAGTTAAACTTCTAGAAATTAGAAAACGGAAATAGTATCACAAATTACATTGTTTTACTAGCTTTTGCCTGCGACTACATCTACGTGTTTTTCCAAACTATCTTCTACGTCTATGACAAATTTCATCGAGATTCGTTCAGCGTTTAGTCTACAAACTCTAACAAACATCCATTCATCTAAACTGTCGCATTTAAATTACGAGTATTAGTAAAATTGTCTAGAGATTCCTAAAAATACGTTTTCTTATAATTCGTGCCGCTCTAATTAGTTGTTTATGTATTGTAAGTTAATAATTAAAATAGATGAAATGGTTATTGTAGGTGGTTGCTGCGCTGAAAGGTATTAGAAACATCAGGCACTTGGAGGACAGTCTCGTGGACAAGGTGGTGCAGTGCGCTGTCGATAATAACGTTAAGGCCCGAGTGAGGGTCGCTGCTCTTGAAGCTTTCCTAGCTGACCCTTGTGCTGCTAAGGTAAGAAACAAGTTAGATCTTTAAAAACTTCATTATTGACTGTAACAATTGCATAGTGCGATTTCGTATTGAAATTTTGTTAAGTCTTAAAAACTTCTTGATCCTTTCGCAATATAAAGTTGGAAAAAAAAATACATGTCATAATATTTCTCTTGCAGATTAAGAAAGCGGGCCTGGACTTAATGAAGAACAGACAACAGGACTCTGAGATCCGTATTAAGGCGTACCTCGCGGTGATCGGTTGCCCATGCGGCAAGTCGGCCAGCGAGATCAAGAACCTTCTAGATTCCGAACCCGTACACCAAGGTGAGAACAAACTACCTATTAAAAAATATTGCAATCTGATGTTGATGTTAGAAGCAAATCTTTTATATTAACGTCCTGATTGTATGTGTAGTGGGCCGTTTCATCACCACGTCACTGCGTCACATTCGTTCTTCTGCCAACCCCGACAAACAACTCGCCCGCCTCCACTATGGTCAAATCGGAACGCCAAACAAGTTCAATATCGATGACAGGTACTTATGTTACAAAATATCGATTTGATACTTCACTTACCAATAATAGACAAAGCTTGGATTTTTAACATTCAAAAACATTTATTTTAGGAAATACTCGTTCTACCGCGAGGGATCGTTTAACTTGGACGTGCTGGGCGCGGGCGGCAGCGTGGAGCAGACCGTCATCTACTCTCAGGACTCCTTCCTGCCTCGCTCTGCCAGCCTTAACCTCACCGCAGAGGTCTTCGGACACAGCCTCAACGTGCTTGAGGTAAGCTCATTCTAGTACTTTACTAATATATAACAGAAATAGTGATAAAGAATGAGTCTATATTCATACTTTCTTTTTAGATTGGAGGTCGTCAAGGTAACCTGGACCGCGTGATCGAACACTTCCTGGGACCCAAGGGTGTGCTACGCACCCAGAAACCACAAGAAATCTACGACAGCCTGGTGGAGCGCTTGGAGAAGTCGAAGGACAAGGTTGAACACGGAATCGTACGGCGCCGGCGCTCCGTCAAGAGCGAGGTTGATAACTTCGACAAGAAGGTAAGTTGCGAATCTGGCATTTGAGTTGCATAAATAAAGAAAAACTCGTGTCAAAGTTTTTCTTCGTCTTACTAAAAAATTTCGTATACTTGTAGATCAAAGCAGAGTCAGTGCCTTACAATAACGAATTGGACTTGGACGTGTATCTGAAGCTGTTTGGTACTGACGCGGTGTTCCTCTCGCTGGGTGACGACAAGGGCTTCAACTTCGACCACCTCCTCAACCAGCTCATCAGCGTGCTGCATGATGGTGTCAACAAAGTCAAGAACTTCCAGGTAGGAAGCGACTAGTATATTTAAGATTAGACCACGAGAATTTCATGGTCATACAAAATACGTATTAACATTTTCAATGTAGTGTAAGTTATGCTCCAGTGGATAGGAATAACTAGAACGTGTGTCTTCCAGAACGAGCTGCGTGGACACCTTCTCTTCTTGGACGCGGAGTTAGCATACCCCACGTCGACTGGTCTGACCCTGAAACTGGACCTGGTGGGCGCAGCCACTGCACGCGTCGACGTCGCCACAAACATCGACATCCGCCAGTGTATCAAGAGCCCTGAGAATGCCAAAGTCGACATCAAACTCGTCCCCTCCACCGACATCGAGGTTTCAGGCGTGATGATGATTGATGCGTTCGCCGTCAGCACTGGACTTAAAGTGATCACCAACTTGCATTCATCAACCGGCGGACATCTTATCGCTAAGGTAATGAACTCTTATCAATATGAATATTATAATTGAATTAAAAAAGATTATTTAAATAACGCTGAAATATCTAAATTGTTGTATTAAAATTTTTAGATGATCGAGAATGGACAAGGATTCGACGTTAACTTCGGCCTTCCTGTAGAGAAGCAAGAAATAATCGTCGCCTCCAACGAGCTTGTGTACTTCACCGCTGAGAAGGGTCAGATGGAGAAGGTGACACCTGTGAAGGTTGACACACAGAATAAGGAGTACAAGGGCTGCTTCGACCAGTTGTCCGACGTCATTGGACTTACTTTATGCGGCGAAGTGTCTGTTCCTTTCACCGTATCAGGTAATTATCTAATTTGATTTACAGCAAGATATAACGGTTAACTACTTGATCGAAATTATTTTAAAAATTACTGTTCCCTTATAGGACCAGAGGCGCAAACATCAATTTCCAAATTCTTAGCTCGCTACCCACTGACCGGACCGGCGTCTGTTAAACTTATATTGGAGAAAAATAACCTTCGAGGCTATCACGTCAAGGGCGTGCTGCGAAGGGACGCCAAGGCAGGAAAATACGGAGTCGAACTTCTTTTCGACGCTCAAGGCTGTAAAACTGGCCGCATACAATTCAATGGTGACGCGGTCTACTCGAATGAAGAAAAATCCTTGAGATTGGCTTTGGATTCGCCATTCAAAGTTATCAACGGTGAAGTAGCTCTCTACACAAAAGCAAACAGGGAGTATTCAATTCTGGCCAAAGCTAAGGCAGACGATCTAGAATATTACGGCAGATTGGGCTTCGATGCGCACAGGGAAGGCTCTAACTCGGTTTACAAACCCGTCTTTGAATATTCCTTGCCGGATAACAAAGGGAAGCAAACTGTAAGAGTAGATGGTCAGATCACTCACGACACCAGAAGTAATGAAGTGAAATGGAATCTAAGAAATATCAACCTCGTTTTCGTACAATCAAACGACCCTCTCGACTTGAACGGGCAGTACAAGCCAGTTCCCAATGGCTACGAGTTAGACGTAAAGGGCAAGATGGGTCAGCACACCATACTACTCGCGTCTTCACTCAAGAGCGCTGAATTCAAAGTTGAATTCCAAAACACCCTTAATCCTTACATTAACTTCAAAGTTAATGCCCATATCGAAAACAACAGAGAGGTAAGTTAAAAAACTTGTTTTAACAAATAAAATTACGTAACATTGGAAAGATACTTATTTCCATATTATTTCGTTTAATTATTTATTTGTTTTTTTTCTTAACAAATTAGGTAATCCACAACGACATCGACCTGTGGTACAGTGGTGATCTTCGCAATTCTGAAAATCGTGTAACTCTCAACCAATTCTACAAACGTTACGAAGACTCAAAGGAATTCAGCATCATCACTAAGAATAAATGTAAAGATTTTTGTTTACTCCCAATCAGCTTATTTGAAATGTCTTTTAAATACCGCTCGTTAACTTATTCTTTTCTTCTTCATTTTAGTTGAAATTCACTGTCTTCCATTAAAAGCAAAAGTGGAAGCTCAAATAGACAGCAAGAAAGTTGACATCGAACTGGAAGGTCAATATCTAAACCGTAAAGCAGAATTAGACTTAGAGGCTAGAACTCACGTCAAGAAACCTGGAGACTACAGCGTGAAACTGAAAGCCGAAGTGGACCGTCAAGGAGTGGAAGCTTTCGCTAAAAGAGACATCGTATCTGCTGATAAATCCAACTTTGAGAACTACATTACTGTCAAAGGTGTTGGTAAATACGAGCTATCTGGAGTTGTGCTACACAGAAACAAGGCGAATGACATGAACGTAGGCGCTGTCGGACATCTCAAGATCTCTGGTGGTGGAAAGAACGAAGATATCAAGTAAGTACACAGAGAGAATCGAAATCGCACCGATCCAGTAATCAATCTGCAAATACTTATTTAACTTTTGTGTTCGCAGGTTCGATTTTGGAGTAATTGAGAATGCTAACCTTTACTCGTCGCACGCGAAACTCTCCTCAAACAAGGGAGAATTCTTGGACTTCCTCTTGAAGGTGACTCGCGGCGCCAACGCTAACGGACAGCTGAAGTTCATCCTTAAAGACTCCATTTCAGCGAACGGACAGTTCAAAGTCACTGACAACGACGGTAAAGGCAATGGAATGATCATTGTTGATTTCCAAAAGGTATGCAGCATTTTATACTATTTAAGCGTAGCTTGGAAGAATATTCTTCAGTTATTATCTTATCAATGTGAAATGAATATTACCTTTAGTTGGATACAGTTAAAAAAGATATTATTGTTTTAGGTACAACGTAAAATCAAGGCTGACATCAAGTTCGTGGTGAAGGACCCCGTGTACAACGCCGACGTAGACATCTTCCTTAACTTTGAGAAGGACAATAATGACAAAATTCACATCAGCACCAACAACAGGAACACTGAGAAATCCATCGACTCAAAGTAAGATAAATTTGTTGCATCTTTTTATACACTCTGAATCAATTTCATTCGAAGAAAATGCTATAGCACGTATTTAGTACAATATTAAATTCAGAATCTCTTTGCAGGAATAAACTAGAATACGCCGGCAAGAGGACAGAAATCAACGTACACCAGAGTGGTGATCTGGACTCCGGCAAAGCCAGCGCCAACGTGGAGGTGGTGCTGCCGACTGAAAGGTGTCTTAACTTGAAGTTCAACAGAGATGTTACAGAGAAGGACAGCGTAAGTATCCAGGGAACTTACTTATATGTATATTCAACATTGCAGGATTATAATTATGTTTGTGCTTAATTTCACTTGATTAATTACAGATTCTAAACGGAAACGCTGAGCTAACCTTAACAGACTCTGAACGGCGTGGTGCTGCTGGCTCCAGCTTCACTTACACTGGCAAAGTGACCAACACCAACTACGACAAGGATACACTGGACTACGAGGGTCAAATCGTGCTCCGCCTGAAGAATGGCAAGAATCTGGTGAATGCATTCTCTTTGAAGAACATTCCCACTGGAGATGGAAAGTTCAAGGGAGATTTTAAGGTACAGTTTTACTTAGCTTATTAATATTTGATATTATAAAACGAGATGTAAAAATACACTAGAGAATAAAAAATGCAGCGATATTACTGCGGTGAATATACAAGCTCACCAAGCTCTTGCATTTTGCCTACATCACTACTTAATACTATGTATGATCGAGGTGAAACGCTACTTTTGACGTTACACAATTTTTCAAGGTTATCATGAGTGATACGTTTTAGGTCGATGTGACTGGCAACCTGATCCCAAAGCCCGCCTCGCTGAGCGGCAGCACCACCTACAACGATAACGTGTGGGATGAGAGTTACCGGCTGAAGGGCAGCTACGGCGGAGACGTCGGCTTAGAGGTCGTAGGCAACTGGCTGTTGAAGACGGACGGTGGTGTTAAGAAGTATGTAGCATCATTATTTTTCTGTAAAACTGAGTTTCTGTATAAAAGTAGTGGAATAATTTTTTCGACTAATTATTGTTTCTTTATCACAGGTACGTGGATGACAGCACTGTAAGCCTGAGACTTCCTTTCGAACAGGCTCACGACATCAAATGGGTATCGACCGTACAATTCTTACAACCAGAAGAGAAAGACTTCGCCGAGGTGAATACTTTTTTACACTATTGGAATACATATTGCAATCCCTTAAAATACATTGACTAAGATAATTCTCTCTGCAGTTTACCGTGATGGAATCAATCCAAGTGAACAGCGACGTATACAAAATCGACTCGACCGGTAAAGTGTCTTTAAACAACGGCAATGCGGAAGTCAAGGTTCTGGTGCCCCACCACGACCCGCTGGTCCTCCACGGCAACTACCAGCTCTCCTCAAAGAGTAAGTGAAACAATTTAACCATCATTATGCGTTAGTTTAACTTTAAAAGTGAAAATTATTTTTTTAAATTATCTTTTAAGATTACAAATATAAAAGCTAATACAATTAAACTTACAGATGACGTGAAAGGTATTGAAGCGGAGGTGCAGGCGCGCTACGGCAAGATCAAGCGCGACGTCAAATTGGTGGTGAAGGCTCCTCCTCGGGAACTGGATCTGCTGCTGGTGGCTACAGCGCCTGAGGCTGAGAAACTCAAGAGGCTCGAACTTAAAGTCAACAACAAGGTAAAAACTAGTGAAACAAAACACTGACTATGTATTACATTATTCTTCTAGTTCTTTCTACTTATATTCTTTGTTATACGCGCCATTATTAATTATCTTATTACTTTATCGTGTTTAGAACCCAGCCCCTAACACCTATAGCAACGTGATCACCGTCCAAGCGGACGACCGCGTCTACAAGACCGAAGGCATTGTCGTCTACTCCAGAACACAGCCTCTCTTCGACTTGAAATATACCAGCCCATCTACGACTAAACCCAGCAGGTAAACAATAATTCAATTATATTAAATTGTTTTTTTTTTATTAAATTCATTTATAATTTGCAATCTTTCTACTCCATTAGGTTGTACGTTAAAGGAGAGACAATCAGTTCATCGCACGGCAAACTGGAGATGAAGGTCGAGAATATCAAGGACGTTGACATCGATGTGAACTGCGAGGGCAATGTGCAGAAAGAGAATGTGTACTTCAAGGGTCAGGCTAACTCCGCCGCCTTCGGACTTAAGAACTACAAGATCGACATCAGCAGCAAAGACGACGGCAATGGCAAGCGCCTCGAATTCCACGCTATTAATGACAACAAGAATCTTCTCAGTGGAAGGTAAAATTAACGACATTATCGCTATCGTTTTGTGAATTTTTAATCTTTTGTTTGCCATAAATTTTCTTTTCCAAAGTTTGTATCTTACAGCTTTGTTTTTTTATTGCAGCACCTCATTCATAAGCAAGCAAGAGGGCTCGAAAACAATCATTGAGGGCTCCGGCTCCATTAAGGTTAAAGAAGACCAGAAACCTGCAAACTTCAAATACATCCGCACCATCCTTAGCGACGGCAGTGAGGTAAAATTTTACTCTACCAGTGCGACATTGGCAAATTTACGGTTTAAATTTGTTTACTTGGCATTGTTTTTAGATTTATAACAAATTAAAATGACGATTTAAATTGATTTTTATGAAAAGTTAGGTGAACATTTTTATTTACGAGAATTTTTGAAACAGACATTCCTAAACCTGGCGATCGGCGAGCGAAGCTACGTGGCGGAGTCCCGCGTCACCGAGCTGGAATACAAGACATCATATCTGTACTGCGAGGAGAAGAAACAATGTGCCAACATTGACCTGCACTCTAAAATAAACGTTATAAGTAAGTGCATATCGTCCTTTATTATTGGTTAAAGACTGTGAAGTTAAAGAAAATCTTAAAAGAATCTCAAAAGCTTAAACTGATTAAGGACTCAACTAATTCGTTTTACTTTGTTCAAACAGAGCCAGGTCACATCGAGCACCTCGTGAATGTGGACTTTGATTTACGCAAGCTTGGCTTCGCACCCGAGTTCGGTCTGCAGATCTCCAACGAATTCTCCGAGCAAATGTTGCCCAAGTACTTGCTCGATTTGCACGTCAACAAGAACGACAAGAAGTACCACCTGCACGTTTACTGCAAGCCGGAAACTGGATGTAAGTTCAAACTAGATAACACAGACAAAAATCAATGTACACTGTTAAATCAACATTTGGTTTTATACTTTGTTTATTGACAGTGATTCCTGCCGGTATAACCGTGACCATCCCGACTCGAGTCCTGGCTCTGGAGTCCCAACTGCGCTACTCCCCGAGCGGCGTCCTGTTGTTCCCGGTGCACGGCGAGGTCGCTCTCTACCCCGACAAGAACAGACCACAGCAAAAGACCGCCGCCAGGGTCAGCATCAGCGCTGACACCTCGGACTCGCATAGCTCCGCTGTCGCTGATTTCGGATTCAGTCATCCTAAACTTGGCGAGGTAAATATTGCTATTTATAATGAGATATCTACAGGGCTAGATTAATTCATTTATCTCGTTAAGATTTTAATCTTCATCATTTATGATGCATTGAATTAATATTACAACTATTGCCACAGGAATTGACACTCAAAGTATACACGAAATTGGACCGCCCGCAAGAGAACAGTCTCAAGATTGAAACTTCAGCTGTACTTTCACACAATTGCTTCGGAGGCGTAAGTTTTCATATTATTGTTACTCAATTATATAATTTGTAAATGTGTTGATATTAATTTTCTTTTTATTTCAGAAACGTGAGTCGAAGGTATGCTTAGAAGTGAACCCAACTCATTTGAAATTCACGGTAAGTTTCATTTCAAGGTCTAACAATATTTCTTTGAAGTCTGTTTTTGAAAATATCAATAGAAAACTTCGTAAACAATATCGTTAGGATTTTATAACATTTTAACATTTCTGTTGTTCACAGTTCGACACTCCACTGGTATCAGTAATCAACCTGGAAGGCTCTGCTATAGTGAAGGACAACCTGCAGCAAGGAGATGTGAAGTTCAGTCTGCTGGAGGGCAAGCCGGTGCAGATGCACGCCGTCGCCCGCGACTATCAGTATTATGAGTTCACAACCGGATATAGCGGTAGGTTGTGTTTTTCTCACTAAAGAAGATTTCTCTAGTATGGTGTTGTAATAAGGAAAATTCCACTTTGAAAATTGATGATACAAAAGTAATCAAAACGACCTTTAATTGTAGATGAATCCGAACGCAAGCTGTCGATAGTCGGTCACATACAGCCGGAGAAGCGAGTGGACATCGCCGTAGACATTGTGGTGCCTGGACACAAGAAGAGCATTGCCCACGGAGCCCTCTACCTGCAGGACAATGTTGTCAAGAGCGACTACGGTCTCTCTAAAGACAACTTTAACTATTTCGTGGTATGTTAATTAAAAACAATATAGTAGCATGCTTATTTGTATAAGAACCCTTTTTATGAAAAGGCCTCTGTATTAATTTAAAATGTTCTACCAAAACTATTCAATTGAAAGAAGTACCAATTTGTTATTTTGGTTTTGGGTCTCTGTAACGTAAGTAGAGTATTCGTAATGATTATATTGATTTTACAGAGCGCTCTGAAGAAAGATCTGACTACATTACAAGAACGCGTCAAAGAACTAGGAGAGAAAAACAGCGAGGAATTGAAACGTACGCTGGATCGCATTCGCCCGACATTCCAGAGATTAGAACAGTCCTACAAGGAGGACTTGGAGAAGCTGGTTCACGAGATCACTAACGATGAGACACTGAAGGAAATTTCCGAAGCACTGTAAGTAAAATCATGTAATTCCAAGTCAATTGAAAGAATAAAGCGAAATTTTATTCTTGAGTAAATAGTAAATGAATAATAGGAATGAATCTAACAATTTAATATCTTTACAGCCACTACATAGCCCACTTCTTGGCGAAGATTATCGACGACTTACTGAAAGTTACCAAACCGATGGTTGACAAATTAGTAAACCTTGTCACAGACTTGGCTGAGAAGACCAAGGATATGTATGTTAAACAGGTAAGATGGAATATTTGATTTTAATTAAATTACCTTTTCTATTGCTAGAAAGAATAATCTGATTATAAAAGTCAATAAAAGGCTTTCTAAAATGAAATTAGAAATATAAAGGCGGAATTTCGTTTTTAACTTGGTTTGGTTGAATATTCAACAGTTGGAGCCGCAAATCAAGGAGCTGTACGCGAACATTGCTGCGATTGTAAACGAGTACTTCGACGGTCTGCTGGACACCGCTGCGCACTTCGCAGCACTCGTTATTGACTTCTTCGAACGCCACAAGCCTGAAATCGAGGAGCTTACCAACACACTCACTGAGATCTTCAAAGGTAAGAGCTATTGCTCTTTATTTATTAATAAAGAAGTACAGAAGCTGTGGTCACATTGAATATTGCTACAAACTCGATTTTACCAAAAATACATAGATTGAAATGTTTAATACTTTATGCCAAATGTTCAAAATTTGCAAATATAACTACTTTGGATGTTCGAAAACCAATGTTTCTTTTTTTCAAACAGACTTGACCAAACTACTGGTTGCTCAACTGAAGGAATGGCGCGTCAAGGTGACGCAGATATTCGAGGAGCTGTCTCGTCAAGTCAGCGATCTGCCCATCATAGGAGTGCTGAAGGACAAAGTGAGTAGATATTGTTATCATAAAACTGTCCATTTAACATATCACCTTCTGTGATTCTTTAGTTTTAGAGGATCTTATACAGTTTCCATAACATCTCCAGAAGTGTAAAAACTATAAAGACTAATTAAAATATTTCCTATTCAGTGGCAAGAATTGGCAGTACCAGAGCAGGCGATCGGCATCTTGCGACAGGCGCAAGAACAAATCCGCCAAGTGTTACCAACGGAAGATGCCAAGAACTTCTCTGACGAGCTGTTCAATTACCTTTGCAAGGTAAAATTCAAATTAAAAACTGACAACCCATTGATACTAACACTTAACAATAACATAATTTGGTTTTAATGAACCTTCGGTCTTTTAAGTAAATCAGAAATGAGACTTCATAATAATGCTGTAGGTTAGAAGGTCACTTGAACAAATAGCTAAAGGCTTTCCCAAGTCTAGGAAGTCAGTAAATAATTGTATCATGTGCTATACAGAAACTGCAGCAGGAGAAGGTGGACGAGGTAGCGTCGCTGCGCGTGCTGTACGAGAAGCTGGCGCTGGCGGTCACCTCGCTGGTGCAGTTCGTGCGCACCGGCCTCGCCAACGCCGGCATCTCCCTGCAGCCCGCGTTCACACCGGTTAGTACGGAGCAACGTTATGCCATATTTGTATACTAGTACTTCGGGCTGATTTACTCCTAGAAATATAAATGATAGATCTAAGTGTCAAAGGATGATGATTGCAGCGGCTGATTGACAATACTGTCTAATTCAATTAAATATAAGGAACAAGCTATGATAATTACTATGACAAAATCTAAAAATGTTCTGTTTATGCAGATGTCTCTACCAACCTTCGCACCATTATCGTTGCCATCATGGGGCGGCGGAGCTTCTGCCAGCCTGTTCAACCAACTGCTGCGTGGAGATCTTCCAGACCCTCTGGCTATCATCCGCGCTTACAGGCCTCGTTCACTTAACCCGCTTGACGAAGTCCCTGCTAAATGTATGTACTGAGTAGTGATAGAAGTTGCGCATCTGTGATGTACTTTCAAAATCCTGTCTAACGTTAATGTGATTGTTCAGTGCGCGCTGTGGTGGTCAACGGCCAGCACATCTTCACGTTCGATGGCCGCCACCTCACGTTCCCGGGCAGCTGCCGCTACCTGCTGGCGCACGACCACGTCGACCGCAACTTCTCCCTCGTGCTGCAACTGCACAACGGAGCGCCCAAGTCGATCATTCTAGAAGACAAGAACGGCGTTACCATCGAAATTAAGGACAACGGACAGGTAACCTTTTAAACGAATCGTGTAAAGCTTCTACAATTTATCTTGTCAAACATAATACAGAAATGTACATACTAATCATCTATTTAATTACCCAGATTGCACTGAACGGAGCCAATCATGGATACCCGGTAATGGAGAAGGATTCCTTCGGTTTCCGTCAGCCGAATGGTAACCTAGGATTGGGTACATTGTACGGATTGATGGTCTACTGCTATGGAAAACTTGAGGTAACTTACTCCTTCATAATAAAGCTCTTGAACCATATTGTTGTTGCTGTTGTTGTTATATGAAAATATCCATTGTTAAAATGTCACGTTTGTTTTGTAGGTGTGCTACATCGAGGTGAATGGTTTCTACCTGGGCAAGCTGCGCGGTCTGCTCGGCGACGGCAACAATGAACCTTACGACGACTTCCGCATGCCCAATGGAAAGGTACACACACTCACAGTATTTTATACTAATTTATCAACGGTTAATAGCCTCAATTGTAAAAAATGTATGAAATAAGGGTGTAGTAATGAAAATTTGCTCTGTTTAGATTTCAACATCAGAGTCAGAGTTCGGTAACGCGTACCGTCTGGCGGGCAGCTGCGCCGCGGCCGCCGTGCCCGAGCACAGCCACCACCAGCTGCACCACGCCGCTCTGCCCGCCGCCTGCGAGATCGTCTTCGGCGGCAGCTCGCCGCTGCGGCCCTTGTCACTGTTCCTCGATATCGCGCCCTTCAGGTATCTTCCTCTACGCAGATACATTCTAACATTGCTTATTGCTATTTTGTAATCAACAGAATCTTTGAGCTGACAACGATACGGAATATGTGTGTTTTCTTTTTTTAAACGTTTCTACTTATATGATATCTAAAGAAATATCATGAGAAAACTAAACATTCAGTTAAAAATGTAAGAAAACGACAATAATTTTCGTGCGACTAAAACGCGGCCGGAGTGTTGTTACGTCGACAAAACCAAAGTATTTTATTGGTTCTCAGAACTCAAATCAAAATATGATTAAAATTGCTTGCTTCGACCAATTGTATTGTGTTATTAAACTTGGCGAGGGAGTTTTAAGACTCTTTTTAATTCAATTTCGCAACTAAATAATATTATATTAAAATTTTTTTTTTGAGTTTTCGATAAAGAAAACAAAAAAATTGTGGAATTTGGCTTCATATGCATATTGCTAATGTTTTTTCAGACAAGCGTGTATCCACGCTGTGTCCGGTGACTCGGAGGAGGCGGTGCGGCAGGCGTGCGCGCTGGGCCGCGGCTACGCTGCGCTGGCGCTGACCGGCCTGCTGCCCGCCGTGCTGCCGCCGCGCTGCCTCGCCTGCACCGACGCTGACAAGGAACACAACGTTGGAGACACATACGAACTTAAACTGCCCGCCAAACAGGCAGACATTGTCGTTGCTGTCGAAACTACTGTGGTAAATAGAACAATATAGTCAAAGAACCGCCAAGTCCACATATTTCCTCACTGCGAGTTATAAAACATCTTCTTATTCTCAGGGCAACGAGAAGAACTACAAGGAATTACTGGTACCATTGGTATCGCAGCTGATCGACGCTCTGAAGAAGAGTCAGATTGGTGACATCAAGGTGTACCTGGTCGGCATCACCTCCAGATTCCCATATCCTATCCTCTACGACACTGACCGTAAGTACATACTAATTTATGTTTTTAAATATTCACAGCATTAATTGTAAAGATATTCTATTCTTGATAAGACTTCATATGCCATCCTTAGAAGGCTTAGTTGTGTAAAAACAAATCAGCAATTTCGTTACCTTTGATCCGAAGATCAGCTACTTTTTCATTGATTCAATTACATCATCAAAAATAAAATAGACTTTGGTATCTTTACAGTGAAATTAAAGAACGCTAAGATTCAATTCACGGACAAGAGCCGCTACGAGCAAATCGACACTATCAAGACTGGAAACGAGAAGATTGATGCGATTGAAGAGAACGCCGTCAACCTATTCGACTACATCAGGAAATCGCTCGGTAAATAAATTCTTTCAATGCTTAACGGAGCAATTGTGAATTAGTAAATCATTTTTGATGTATGCTGTTCTCATGTGCGTCTGTTGTTTTCAATAAGTAACACGTTGTTTGTGTTTTAGGAATTACGAACGTGATGGGCGGCTACAGGAGCCTGCTGGAGCTGCCGCTGCGGCCCGGCGCCGTCAAGCACAGTATCAGCCTCGTCTCCGACCACTGCCAGAAGCAGGATCTACTGGTAAGCATCAATGCTTGGAGCTTTTCTGTTTGAAATATCAAATAGATGTTTCACATCGAACCACGCAAATTTAAATTCAATCTTTATTATTGTAGCAATCTCCTGATATCTGTCAGTATAATTAGTTTTTTAATTATCTCCTGCCTTTCATACGTTAATTTTCAAATTTGCTACATACGGTTAAGTGTTTTATTACCAACCAGATGTTCTTTATCGATTTTAAATCTACTCTCCGTTTTGTTCAGTTATCAACGTTCTGGTCAGCGTTGTACAGCACACTGTACAAGGAGAGTGCACACACGCACTCCATCATCACCAACACGCCTGGACTCGCTGACGGTAATGAGAAGCTTAAGAATGCTGCTGGTAAGTTACAGTGACTAACACATAAAACAGTCAGTAGAAATGCAAAAGTATGATTAATAATAATTCTTTACTAAAGGTTACACTAAGCACTCTGTGCTGATCTGCGGCGACAAGAAGCACAAAGACACTGAGGCTCTGCGCGCCACCATCAAACCTACAGACAATGAATGCATCAATTTTGTTGAATCGGTGAGTTTAAAGCAAAGGAACATTATCACGTTTTGAAAGGTCACGTTTTGAAAAGCAAATTCACATAAATAAATGTCATTCCAGTCTGACGGATTCGTGTTCTCTGCGTCCAACTACGAAGCGATGAACCCCGGCATGCAGAAGCAGTTCCTCCAGACGGCAGCATCTGCTATCACCAAGGAGATGTTACACGAAGTGCTGGTCCAGGAATGCACCTGCACTTACGTGGACCCCTACCGCGTGCGCTCCGTCTGCTTCACCAAGGAGAGGAAGGAAGCGGTAAGTTCCTTATTATACGTAATGTTTCGAAGCATTTAGTGAATGTATATTAAACTAGCTTTTGCCCGCGACTCTTCGCGCGGATTTAAAAGAAACAAATGCCTAGTAGCCTATGTGTTCTACCAGACTATCCTCGATATCTATACCAAATTTCATCCATCCCTCTAAACTTTTGCGCTTATAATATCAGTATGATTAGTATGTTTGTCAGTACCTTGATAATACCTTATTACTTAATACCTAAGTACTACTATACTAAGTTACCTTAAGTAAATAGTAATGTTTTTATTAAGGTAAATAAAGATTCTTAAACCTATCCTTTACTGCTTTACTAAAGAAGAGAGATATTGCAATAAGACACTACTTTCTGGACAACTTTTCAAGACCTTCACTTATTTACTTACTAGCTGTTGCTCACGATTTCGCCCGTGTGAAATTATTAAATTATGAAATACTCTGTAATAATATAGCTTTTTAATGGTGTAAGAATTTTTAAAATCGGTTCAATAGTTTACGAGTTATTTCACTATTTTCTCTTTATAATGTTAGTAGAGATTTGCGAAAAAGTAGTCACTGATAAAGCCGCGTTACCAGAGTCAATAATATATCCCTAATGTATTATGTATTTTCAGAACTTGCTTTTTTAGACACAAAGGCAAAGTTATTAATGTAAACTTTTGTTCGCAGGCTCGCAGAAGGAAGTAAACGTAATCAGCGCCATCTGTGATCAAAAACAACTCACCAAATATCCATTAGTTAAGTCAATGAGCTCTAACGGGACTCGACGGGAATCATTTAAAACCTTGAAAAAAAACGTATATAATTTATTAAAATAACGATTTATTTAACATCCAATACTTTTAATTATTAAAGTAATTTATCAAAGAATATGTACGAAATCATTTTAATTAACATTTGAATCAAAAATTCCTTTGTCTGGTCACGTGAGCAGTCAAAGAGTCTTGTTGGAGCTCGTAGCCGTATATTTAGTTGCCATGTTTTTATGAATAGAGCCTATTTATAGCCACAATATGCCAATCAAAGAGGTATTAAAGTAATCGATCTTTGTATTATGAATAATAAAGATATGTTATTAATATTTGGTTGTTTTATTTTACTACGTGTAGCGACTTAATAAAGATAATACTTTAGGGCGATTGTTTCGCAACGAATTCAACTGTTTAGTTGAAAAACTAACCAATCGCGTAGTGTGCGCACCTCTATATAAGATAGGAAGAAAGCGCGACTAAACAGTTGTGCGATAGTTTAGTCAAAAGACCCACGCTCTTCTCGTATAACTTAAAAAATGAAAACGTACAAACAGACGATTTGATCAGTCCTAAAATTGTTAGTATGGGAAACGTTTAGAATCAAATCATAAACTATTTCAGATTATATGTTTATATGAAAAAGTTATAGAAAAATACATAACACTTTATGAATAATACTAATTTCTTTGGAATTAATAATTATGGTAGCAGTTCTTGCGAACCCAGCGTAAGCGCGGACCACGCTGGGACATTATCTTGACAGAAGCGCTCGCCGCCGCAGACACTACCTCTTGTACCTAAAAACATTTAGATTATTGCTGTAAATAACTCATTTGTAATTGATCTAAAATTCAAGGTATAAATATTAATAAAGCTATTCAATAATCAGCAAAAATATAGACTAGGCAGTGAACATTATTCGCCAGCAACTTCGATGAAAGGTACTTATGTTTAGTGCCACCTCATTGTATTGACATTTTGCAAAATTATAATACATGATTTAGTGACATCTATTGGCAAATAATTTAAATACAATTAATTACTGACATGTTTTGAGGGTCTATCAATAGATAGCGTTAGTGAAATGTGAAAACTATATATTTTTGTGTGTATATTCTAAGCTGCAAGTCTGTCCCAAAGTTATGCGCGGTTCACACTACGCCAGTACAGTTGGACAGTAGAGACCAATAACTGGACTGTCAATTTGGCACAATGTGAGCGCTAACTGGTGCTAATGATGTAGAATTTGACTGGCTAGTGCAACTGTCCAACTGTATTGACAAAGTACTAGCATTATAATATAACGCACTGAGCTGTGAATTGCTAATTTAGTTAAGTTATAGCTTTAGTATAGATAAGTTAAGTATAGTTATAGTTAAGTTATAGGTTTATAATTCTAAATTAATAGATTAAAGAATTATGTAGATGAGATTGTTTTTAAATATATTCCCAGTTTTAATAACCAGCGACTCCGTCTGTGTGAAATTAAAAAAAACGTAAGTAATTAAGTAAATGTGTTCCAAATAATTCTGTACATCTATGACAAATTTCATTGAAATCTGTTGTAGACTACAAGCTCTAACAAACATCCATCCATTCGCATCAGTACAAAATACTTACACTCAGCATCAAATTCTGCGCGTTACCAACTAACATGTTGATCGCTTCCTTGTCTTCTTGATTATCTGAAAATAAAACATTTATAAAAAATCTTGTTCAAGAAATTATAAAAAAATTTGATGTCGTATTTCTATGTCTTTTTATGTACATATTTTACCAATACATGTTTCTATAAACTTAATTTTATTTTTGACCGACTTCCCAAAAGAAGGAGGTACTTAATTCGTCTGTATGTTTTTAAAGTATACTAACTGTTGCTCGCGTCTTTTTCGGCACGGAAATAAAAATTATATGTATCCTATGTTACTTAGTGATAACATAGCTATTTATTGGTGAAAGAATTTTTGAAATCGTCTCAGTAGTTGAGTTACTACGGTACATAAAAGTCCAAACATTTCCTATAATATTAGTATGAACAAATATCGTTTATAATTCTCAAATGTTACATTCCCATAAGCAGAGGAAAGAGTTTTGTTACCAGTGTCAGCCAAATTATAAAATAACCATATACTTGAGACTGACCTAATTCTTTGAGGAACAGCATTTAACAAGAAATAGAATAGAATAGAATAGAGGTTAGTTGAAATATAGACCTTGTTGTCCTAAAGAGGCTCCTTTGACAGTCGTCAGCATCTTGAGCTGGCCGCTGATGGTGGGGATCCTGTCGCAGACCTGCACCAGGTTCTGACAAACGTACAAACAAGCAAACACGTTATTTTGTGGTAATTATGTTTTATTCACACATTCTTATGGAAATGCTTAAAATAATCATCAGTTATTTCATTCATTCTAACATATTCATTGATTTTTGTAACATACCTGAAATGAAAACTTTCCAGATATTTACCTTTTGTTAACTAAGTCGGTTTGCAAGCTTTAACAATTCGTTAGTGTTTAGTTTCGATAACTTCAGGTAATGAGTTTCCGAACTACATAACCTGATGTTTACTCCTTTGGAATTTTAAACATAATACCTTTAGACTTCAGAAACCCAGCATCAGTTAATCTGACTTGATCTTTAAATCTAATGCTGGGTTTCTGAAGTTAACCATTTTATTTATCATTACCTAGTTAAAATTACAAAGGAGTAAAACTCAAGTAACGTTCGAAAACAAATTTCCTGAAGTTATCAAACCAACACTAACGAACGATTAAAGCTGGGAAACTGGTTATAGATAATGTAACAGTAAATATTTTTTTAAATAATTCTGAATACTCACAGTTCTAATCCTAAGATCGGAGCACTCCAGCGCTAGTTTCCTGGCGAGTTTCGTTACTTCAATGGAAGCCTTCACTGTAGCCTTTGAAGTCGCGAGAACTTCCGGCTTTTTGTCTGAGTACATATTAAAATATAAATAACTGACGTCAGTAAATATTGTATATAGGTACATAAGCTTACTTATGGTTAAAAACCTTTATGAAGTGTTAGCTTTCGCCCGTGACTCCGTCCGAGTGGAATTAAAAAAACAAAAGTGAGTATATGTTCTTCCAGATTATGTTTTACATTTATGCCGAATTCTAATGAAATTCGTTAAGTAGTTTAAGCTACAAACTCTAACAAATATTCAACTTAATTTTATATTAGTAAGATTTATTAATTTACCAATATTGTACAAATATTATTGTCTACTGAGCCCATAAGGGACATAAGTCAAAAGTCTTTGAATTGGAAAAATATAAGTAGATTTTGTTAATTAACTAATATTTCCTAACTCCTAACTAAGCTGTAGGCTTGTGTTGGATATGGTTCACAAATGCCGGGATTCGAAGTCTCGGCCGCAAGATCGATAGTCTGTACTAAACCATTAGGGTATTAGTGTTTCTGTATGAAAAGTATATAATGTGATTGGTCGGTCTGTGTTGAGATACCGTGTTGCATGTAGTCTGCGAGGCGCGCCATGAGCACGGCCATGCGCTTGGCCACCGCCACCACCGCGTTGTCGCGCGCCGACCACCCGCGCACCGCCGCGTGCAGGTCCAGCGCCGCCGCCTGCGCGCAGAGCACTCGTTTACAAATAAACATTTCTCACGACTTTTGATATTCAATACTAACTGTTACCCGCGACGTCATCCACGTGAATATAAAAAACAAAAGTGAGTAGCCTATCCCACGTTTTTTTGAAACAAACACATTCATAAGCTGCGTTGTATTGATTTTTAGTCCGGGTCTTGTTTTAACATGTTCAAACAATTAAAGCCTTTAATGTGGAATACTGCCAGTTTCCCTGAGTGTACATTATTTCTTTCAAATTTCTAACATATATTTTTTGTAATAAAAATCCCTACATTAACGACAAGCGTAAGGATATTGCAAGCTATTAAACTTAGGAGCTGAGAAAATTGTAATATATTATCTCTGAAAGAAAAGGACATAAACTGAAAAACTCATTAAACTTTAAATGTATTATCAGATTACAAGTACTTACAAAAATAGGTTGATTTGGATCCGGTTGTTTTTGGAAGATATTTTCACCGCTCAGAGCAGACTCCACCTCGTTCGTAGTACTTAATATCTGAAAAATAAATTAATATTAAAAAAATCTGTGTGTAAATTCAATAACTGTACTCTCTGGTCTGCATTAATGTCTACCCTCGTGTGAAAGTACCTCAGCGGTGACGTGTCGCCAGTCGCGCTGCTGGCTTGCGCGCGCGCCAGCGCCAGGCGTGCAAGCCAGCAGGCGGCGCTGCGCTTGCGCCAGCGCCCGGCGCAGCTCGGCGTCGTGCGCCGCGTGCCGCGAGTGCAGCCCCGCCTCCAGCACGCGCCAACCTAACCTTTATTTGGGAAAACGCGTCTTATGAACAAGTCGTTATTGGCGTGGAACCTCCATTCGGTTATCATTGTAATTATGAGAAAATGTAAATAGTTTAAATAAAAAATGTAATTGTTTTAATAAAAAAAACATCAAGAAGATGAAAGGTACCCAGCTCAAAAGTCCCCAAGTCCCTGATCCTTATGTTAGGGGTATAAAAAGGGCGGCGCAGAGCCACCCATAAAAAACCCATTTAGTTCCAATGCAGGCTTCCAGGTCATTGTCGTTAGCAGTAAGTCTGTAACCTTTACTACATACTTTTTACAATAAAGTAGTAGTTAAAGTGTATGTGTTTTTTAATAAGGGCCCCGGAAGTTTGGCAGAAACACGTCGTCCTATCTCTTATTATCATTCTATTGTGACGCGAGTTAAATTAGTCGTATTCTTCTCTGTAGATTAAAATAAAACTCAAAAAACGTATTTTTTTAACCTTTTTATAAATAACGGTGCGATATACTTATGGGAAAACTCTTTACCAAATACGTTTTGTAAAGTGAACATTGTACGATAATTTAGTCAAAGATGTGCGCTTTAAAAACCAAAGTCGAATTTTCATTATACAGACAAAGGCAGTTATGGAATTATGACCACATAAATAGTTAATCTTGTAATGTGACGACAGTTTGGGCTTGACAATACGGAGTATATCGGTAACAATGCACAGACTATTATATGACATACTTGGTGATGACGTTGGAGGTGTGGGCAGACTTGAGCGGGTCGTCCTGCGCGGCCGACTGCTCGCGCATGCGCTGCATCGTCTCTCCTGATAAATACCCCAGGAATTTACAACCAAACACAAATAACTCTTATAATAATACTTTATTGCTACAAAATTCCGTCGAATTAAGGGTTACATTCAAATTATTCTTCAATGCAAAATATTTCCATACTCTTCAATCCTTAACGCTTCTGTTAATAATTTCAAGACATGACAGCTTATCCTACTACCGTAGTCACACCAGGCTTTCGTTTTCTTATCCTACTCAGGTAGGGCACCGGGTATTCCTCCAAATAACTATCATCCATCATCTTAGTCACTCTCTTCTTCATCATCGTTGCAATCCATCTGTTGCTATACCTGTACCGGTGTGTTAAAAATAAGTAAGAGTGTCAAGTGAATCTTACCAGCAGCTTGCACAAAGTCCACCGGGTCAACAGAGCGGTCGCAAAGTATTCGAACCTTGGACAATGATTCCGCGTACTCCGCCATTAACGCTTTGTACTTTTCTGTAACGGCCTGTCATACAAAGTATATAATTTAATAAATAACGATAACCAAATGACAAACACATATTACTTGATCCCACATAAAGAGGATTTCCTCTTCTTCTTTCTTTCTTACTTTTTTCCATTCCAACTATTCTGTATAATTCCATGTTCTTCTTACCTGTTGTTGAGGTGTATTAATTCTTTCCTGCGTAGCTTTAACCAATGTCGGAGCTAACAGTTCCACCTGAAATATAACATTGTCGGAAATACCACTTTTATAATAGTAAAGAAGCTAAAGGACATTTTTTTTTCAATTTTTAAAGACTAGCCAGATTAGATAGACTAAGCCAGTACCTGTTGGCTGCAGTGCGCGAGGTCTGCGCCGACGTGCGGAGGGCCAGCGTCCGCCGCCAGCCGAGCTGTCCTCGTCATCCTGCTCATCTGCGCCAGCAGCTCCGCGATCTTCAGCTCCAGCAGATACTTTCTCTTCGCCTCATCTGGAAATCATATCAAAAATAATACAGCAATCTGACTTCCTTATAAGACTGGTGACCTCGCGAGGATAGTAAGAAGTCGCTTGATGGGATAAGCCGTAGACTAAAAATTATGGAAGGTGACCTATAGCAGTTATATATGAATTATCATACTAATATTATAAATGCGAAAGTTTAGATGGATGTTAAAGTTTGTAGCCTAAACTGCAAAACGGATTAAGATGAAATCTGGTATAGACATAGAGCATAGTCTGGAAGAACACACAGATAACCTATTTTGTCATTGTTTTTAGTTACACGCGGATGAAGTCACGTTCGAAAGCTAGTATAAAATAATTGGGAAAATCGAAGTCCATACAGTTCTTGTAAAATCGCGTCCATACCTTTCTCAACGTCCACCAGCAGTTCAATATCATCCAATGCAGTTCCGTCTTCTAAGAAGTCTTCCACAACTCGCGTCACAACGAAGCGATCCAACATCTTCTTTAACTCCTGCAAACGCTCCCACAGAAGACTGGAGGAAAAAATATTTAGAAGACCAGAAAGATGAGGGGAAAACACAGATTAATGAGATAACCTACCTTGATTTTTCTTTATTATACTTGAATGAACATTCCATCGATAGTTTCTCCACTTCGTCTATAGTTTGACTCATTTCTTCTTTATCAACATCTTTCAAATCTTCTGCCATCTAGAAGCAGAATTAATTAAAACCCTATACTTCAGGATTTAATTTTCTCAAATTAAGTATCAAGAGTCTTTAAATGATTTGTATATTTAGCTTTAGAGCGCACACATTTGACTAAACTATCGCACAACTGTTATGCAATTGTCGATTGTTTCGCCAAATTCAACTGTTTAGTTGCACAACTAAAAACCTCCATATAAGGTCATACCAATCAAACCGTGATTAAACAATTGTGCGATATTTTAGTCAAAGGTGTGCTCGTGCTTTTAATCTCTTATTAGCAACAGGGGATTATTGCTTAAAACCATAGTTTATTTACGTAGTAATATTTTTAATAACCTGTTTAGCGATGTTGACCATATTTATAATTCCTTGTATTCCATGAGATCTGACATCTTCACTGGAATTTTCTGCCTTCAGCCATTTCTTTGCTGAATCCATTCTAAAATCATACTAACATTATAAATGCAAAAATTTAGATGGATGTTTGTTAGAGTTTGTAGCCTAAACCTCTGAACGGATTTTTATGAAATTTGGTATAGATGTAGAGGATATTCTAGAAGAACATACTAGTGAGAAAAAACAACATTCAAACGGGCATATTTAACTACATAATTAGGCTTTTTAACTTAGAAGATTCTAAAAAGAAAACCTTTTGTAAAAATTTTAATTTTTCTGATACTTACTGAGTTTCTATATGGCTCTTCTTTTGGACGTCTGTTTCCTGAAATATAACACAATTTGAGATATCACCCTTGAATATTACGACCCATTTAAGGTTCTTTATAGAAAATATGTACAATTTACCTCCTCTTCTGGTGCTTGGGTTGATTCTAACAATCCCGCACGACGACCATTCTCCCTGTGAAAATACATACAATTATATTATTTACATAATATATTGAATCTAGACGTTTCTATGATCATAGAAATTAGAGCGTACTTTGAGTAAATTGTCGCACAACTATTTAGTCTCGCTTTGATTCCTATGAGCTTTAACAGTGGTAGTGCCCGCTTTAACATGTTAGCAGTGCAGGGCTCGCCCCCAGTAATACCACGACACACAGACAGCCGTCAAGTGGAAGCAATTCCTTGTACAGTCAGATGTGTGTGGTGCCGGAGGCCTCATTTAAATCCCTTTCTTTTTACCACCCTTTTCTTATGAGAGGAAGGGAGGGGAAGTGGATTTGACGATAGAGGAGATGCATAGGAAATATCCTCTTTATGTTCGTCTCCTCCTCCGTCGGATAAGAGTAGGCGACGCATCCGCAATTGCAAATGTCTGGCGGATTCAGGTGGCCGCTTGCTCGTTTGCCATCTTATGTTATAAAAAAAAGAGCTACATGAAGCGCACATTAGTCGATTTTTAGTTATGCAACTAAACAGTCAACAATCGTCGTACGATAGTTTAGTCAGAGGTGTGTTTAGTTAACTAACCGAATGCTGTTGAGAAGAGCGTCAAATGCCCGGAGCAGTTCAGTACGGTAACTGTCGTAAGTCTTCCAGCAAGTGACGCCGCCTTTACTGTTGATGGTATTCACCAGGGATACTGTCTTGTTTACCAGTTCACTGGAATGAAACGATAAATCGTACACTTATACTAATACAGCAGAACCTCGATAAGTTAAAATCCAAGAGAAACACAAATTATTTTAAGATATCAAGGGTCTATCAAGGGTTTTGGGCTCTGATGGGATGGGAACATATTATTTTTTGAAGTTATAGAGGTTTTTTTGTTACCTAGATTTGCGTTATCGTGTTTTTACTGTATTATAAATGCGAAAGTTTAGATGGATGGATGTTTGTTAGAGTTTATAGCGTATACTGCTGAACGGATTTCGATAAAATTTGGCATCGATGTAGACGATAGTCTGGAAGAACACATAAGCTACTTGCATCTATTTTATCTAATTCTGCGCAGACGGAAACGCGGGTGAAAGCTAGTCTGATTTAAAACAATACTTTACTTAAACCTATAAAGTGAAATTAGATTACTAATAAATCGACTAAAACTTACCTAGAATTCTTCACGACATCATTAAACGCTGATGATGTTTCTTCTGACAGGTTGGTAGCTTTTGGTAGGATAGTAGGTCTCTTGATGACAGCGTTTAGAACAGCTATGGCGTCTAAGATCTTCAGTGTTGAAGTACTTATTTGTGTCTAGTATCAAAAATTAAAGCTCGTTGTGGTACAGAAAATAAAGAATAACAATGAGAGCTAAAGGGAGAAAATGAGACAGAGAATATTAAATATAACAAGAGTAACAGAGATAGAAAAGGTGTAACTCACGTATGTGCGTTGCTCTTTTGTTTCCCTCATATTATATGTCCATCTCTTTTTATTATACCAATAATACGTATTCTTTCTCGCTCTTATGGCATTATCTCATTCTTAAAATACTCAAATATGTCTAAAGTTTAATTAACTTACCATACTCGTATTAGGATTCTCTAAAATTTTATCGAACTCTTTAGTCGCTGTATTTATTTCTGCCGCGGCATTTGTTAGGTCTTTTTCATCAGATGAATCGATAACTTTGTTCTTAGACTCGATAATTACAGCTTGAAGTTGTCGTCCGTTTTCATTTAATTCCGATTGTAAATGCTTAACCTAATAAAGAAAAAAAATGTTTCATTAAAAAATTGTCATATTTTGTTACCAAAAAAAATATTCTACTAGCATTCGCCTGAGACTCCGCGTGGAATTAAAAAATAAAACAAGTAGCCTATGTGTTCTTCCAGACTATCCTCTACATCTATGCCATATTTCATTGAGATCCATTCATTATAAGCTACAATTATGACACGATTTAGGCTACATTTGCACACTATTAAACTTAGGGGGTATATAAATTGGATAAAAACTCTAATGTGGGAAAGGGACCATAAGCTACAAGCTGCCAACATTAAGGAAGCCATGACCTAGTAACAGTAATTGGTATTTTGACATTTTCAATTGAAGTTGTCATAAATGTAAACAATATAATACAGTTTTTATATTTCCACGCGGATTAAGCAGAGAAACAGCTAGAATTTGATAATTTGCTTACCTGGTTTATGTTTCCGGAGCATATAATTCTGATGCAGTTATCCTGCATGGACTCGGATACTTCCTGCATCTTTATTATATCTGGGAGCCCTTCCTTCGCCACGTCTTTGTATTTATCCGATATTGATATCTTTAAAAAACAATACTTGAAGTAAATAATGTTACAATTTCAAATTTATTCAGATAATTTAATAATTTAGCTGTAACTCTTATTCCAGTCAATTCCATTGACACTTTTACCTTCCAATTAGGATATTAAGAGCCTGTCCCACCACTGGCTGATAAAGGCTCAGATAAGGTAACAAAATCAGATATTTCCATTGTAGCGGGGGGCGCGGGGCGAGCATTACGTGGACGATCACCGAGTACATAAATGACCCAACTTAGGTGAGGCGCATTTATGTATGGCGAGTTATTGCTTTTCTGAGGACCCTTGATGTTCAAGCAATGGTTGAAGCACCAAGAGTGCCTAATAACCAAGCACACCTCAAGCTCCCTTCAAGCTCTTTTTTTTTGTGACTGATTTGTCACTGTTTGCATTTACAGATTGAGGTCACGAAACCATCTATGTACATCGATAGTGGCATGTAAATGAACCACGGCGCCATCTAGTGCATGAAGGCGCCGCATGCACGATTTTACTACTCGGCATACGATGGCGCGAGTACTCTTCATTTATCTTGTTACACCATCACATATTTTACACGTTGGATTGTTATCAGACAGTTTAAGTATTTAGGGCTGACACTTGGTTTACTTTGTACTATAAAATAAACTTACAAGATAAGCGCATTGCGCCGCGTGTTCAGATATATTACACACAGATGTTGTTATATATTGTAGTGTTGAATAACCTTCTTCTCGACTCATAACCTCGTCATTCTTCAATTTATCTGAAAGTAATTGGTTTAAACGATTCGTTTGTAAACTTAACGAAGTTAACATATGTTTGGTGACACTTAATATATCCATACTAATGTTATAAAGAGGAAAGATTTGGTTTTTTGTTTTTTTTTATATGACATAACTTAAAAATTTTCATTATTCGGCCATGTTTTTGCTATATTTTTAATTCCACGGATGAAGTCGCGATAACAGCTAGTGTATACTAACATAAGAGGAAAGATTTTTTTGAATATATTAAAATAACTCAAAAACTATTGGACTGATTTCAAAAATTGACCATTAAAAAGCTACGTTATCAGAGAGTACATAGGCTATATTTTTTATTATGTTTAAATTCGACGCGGGGAAAGTCGCGTGCAACAGCTAGTGTTAAAGGTCATCTCACATATGACATCAGCATGGTCCAGCACCGCCTGCAGACAGTGCGGGTAGCGGCGCGCGCTGCTGGCCTGCGCGCACGCCAGCACCACACTGCTGGACAACTCCTGCCTCACCTCACCATCCGTCACGCAGCTCTGGTAACATAAATAAAACCAATCAAAAACGAAATCATCCAAGTCATTTAAACTCTCAAAGCTTAGCTGACATCTATACTATTATAATAAAGCGTAAACACACTTCTTTGTTGCCTAAGATGTCAGCGATTACAGCATATTTTCGAATAAGTCTTTTTTTAATGAAAAGCCCTACACGTACGTCACGCTTTAGGCTATATATTTTCACGATATTAAACTTAGGGGGAAAATATTCTGGATAAAAACCTTAATGTGAGAAAGAGACCAAAGGTTGGTGCCAACATCAAGAAAGCAAGATTGCAAAGTTTTTCCTTGTCATGTCATTTGACATTTGCTATAATTAATAATTTTATGCGGATGAAGCCGCACGGGAATAGCTAGTTACTAATATTATAAATGCGAAATTTTAGATGGATAGGGTTTGTAGCCTAATCTGCTGAACGGACCTTGAAGGATAGATGTAGAGCATTGTCTGAAAGACAGGCTATATACTTTTTTGATAATATTTTTTGTATAACATAACATATAAAAATTACAGTGGATTTTGTTAACATTGGCAAATAACTCACCAATTTATTTATTGATTTGTTCAAAGAACGTATAGCATCTGAAAGTCGCCTTCTTGTGTACATAGAGTCCGGTTCCTATAAAACATTAAACAAAATTATTAAATGAATAAAAGTTACATATTTCTCATTAACAATATTTTTATTAAACTAGTTCATACCTTACTAACTTGTTCTGCGACTTTTAATAATTTAAAAATAGCAAAACGCATATCTTTCGCAGATTCCTCTATCCTGTGACATTGGACACGATTCTATAGAAAAAAAATCATGATATTAAAAAGAAAATACATATTAAAAAATATATGAATAGTACAAACAATACCTCAACATTCTTTAATGCATGTGCTAAAGAATCTAATTCTATCGCGACGTCAGTGACCGTGTGCAGAGTACGAGACAGGTTTTGTGGTTTCTGTATATTGGACGTTACTGTCCCCATCATAGAGTCCATTTTTAATACTGTCTGATGGAACTTCTTTTTGAGATCACTGGAATTAAGATAAATGCAAAAATTTAAATAAAAACAGTCTTGTGATCGTCGATCGATCGTCGATCATCGATGTGGAGCGTCGATGGCTCAGTGGTTTCAACACTTGACTTGTAATCTACAGGTCTTGGGTTCGAAACCGCCATGTACCAATGTGATTTTCGATTTTTCGATTTTTCATATGTACATAATTTACCCGACGTTCTTACGGTCAAGGAAAACATCGTGATGCAACCTGCACATATCGGCGAAGAAATTCAAAGATATGTGTGAAGTCAGCCAACCCGCACTGGGCCAGCGTGGTTGACTATGGCCTAGTCACCCCGTATTAGAGTAGGCTCCGAGCCCCTTGGTGGGGACGTATAATGAGCTGGTGATGATGAGTCTTGTGATCCTGCTCAAAGGACCATATCAGCAAATATGAATAGTTGTTTGCTCGCGACTTCGCCCCGTGAAATGCAAAAATATAGCCTATGTTACTCACTGATAACTTAGCTTTTTAATGATGATAGAATAATTAAAATCGGCTTAGTTTTTGAGTTAATGCATACAAAAATACATTTTTCTTTATAATGTTTGTATAGATATAGAAAACAGTTTTATGATCCTGCTCGAAGGACCATATGATACGAACTTTTTATCTCCTTGTAGATGAATGTCACCAGATGGCAGCAGGAGTCGTCTTACATCCACATTATCTACAACTTTATTTTGTTCTTCATTGGCCTTTCCGTTAGACGCAAAATCTTCGAGCTCCTAAAACGCGTGTAAAAACTAGAGTAGGTATTCTTAACAATAGCAAGATTAACAAGAAATTATAAAGAGCAGTTTAAAATTCTATTTCGTGGTTAATTATAGAAATACCTGTATAATTTGGTCAGTGATGATCATGTCATCAGCAGTATTATGTTCCTGCCAAGTGGCGTAACGTCTACTCGTAGCTATCATTAGAGTTCGTAGCAATAGAAGTAATTTCCTTAGATGTTCTTCCAACCTTCATAGAAATAGAAACACTGTATTTGTTTAAATAAGTCAAAGGGTTTTATACCTAACTAGCTGTTCCCATGTGACATCGGTAACATGGGACATGGGTTTGGTAACATCCGCATGAAGTTACCAAACTTAATTGTTTACGGTTTATTCCAAATTACCGACTTCATAAGTTTAATAGCATGTAAATATATAGCCTAAAGCGTGTCAATTACATGTCACAATACCTGCGCTTCTCCTTAGGGCTGTTGATGTGAGTGCGCATGCGCAGGTCTGTGACGTAGGCGGCCAGCGCCGGCGCCAGCTGGTCCGCCGCGCCGTGCGGGCACGCCGCTACGCAGCACAGCGCGGACAGAGCTGCACTGTCCCTCTGCTAGTACCAAACATTTCAAACACTGGTAGAGCCCGCTTCAACATCATCACTCTGTACTTAATCCCAACCTTCACCCTGCTCTGTCCCCACAGGGGGACAGATAGAATAAAAAGTTTTATCCGTCCCACCTTTTATTCCCACTATAGTAGAACTGTTAAGAAATTAAATAAGTTTCGACCCTTCATCGCAAAAGGTGGGACAGATGAAACTTTATGTTCTCATCTATCCCCACGTGAGAACAGAGTGAAGTGACTGTTGGGAATATTCCAATACCACGACCACACAGAAGACAGGCGTTCGCTTCGCTATTGTAGCGGATTCAGATGGTCACTTGCTGGTTTGCCCCCTTATGATATATAATTATGGTTAAATGCAATTTATATTCACGTACATTATCGTGATGAGGAATTTTTACACCAGAATTAGGCTTCAGCATACTGTCTATCCTGTTTTCCAGCTCCGTGAGGTCGTGAAGGCTTTCGTCTAACGCCGCGCTGTCAGCTGTCGCTAATGCACCCTTCACTGCAAACCTGACAAGAGTAGATCAAAGCTAGATATGACGAAAGAGAGAAACTATTTATTTCTTTGTCCTATGACATTAAGAAATGTATCTCACCGCAACATGTTAATGCTATCAGTGAGGCTTTGCATTTTGATTTGTAAAGCTCTCCTTGATTTAATATCATCGATGTTTCTTGCTGCATCATTCATTGGGTGCATGGTCTTCTCGCAAACCTGTAACATATACGACAATGTTGACTTGGTGTGATATGGTGACGTGACGTGACGTGACGTGACGTGACGTGACATGACGTGACGTGACGTGACGTGACGTGACGTGACGTGACGTGACGTGACGTGATGTGACGTGACGTGACGTGACGCTGTGAACTTACCGAAGCAAAGCCATCAATACGCAGCATGTCGTCAGTAAAACCATCATTCTCCTGAGTCTCAGACGGACTCATCGTTTCATTTGCTAGTGCTGACATCTTATTGCATTCTTCTTTAATCATCTAGAAATAAAAAAACATTAAACTAGTAAATTATACACCCGTGATTCTATTCTTTATGATATATTCTAGCAAATCACTAAATTTAAATATTAAAAACTGTGTCTACTTTAAAAAAAATCTTGTTCGTATTAAAACTCTTTTTGTACCTGAAGTTCTTTTCTGCCATATTCTCCATTTGTTTCCTGAGCCGTTTTAGATACAGTTTCTATATTAGCCGCAACATCTTTGACATAATCCTGGAATTCATTAAGGATTTAATACATATATTCTATACTATAAAACATTTTAACATTGTCTTATTCCACCTTAAATTGTACAGGAAAATATTAGAAAACAATCATTTAGTTAAATTACCATAACATCAACGACGTTACTCTGCCCACCCCCTCCACGTCGGCTTTGCAGTATCATGCGCTGTAGATCTTGTGTAGCGTTCTCCAGTCTACGAAGCTTGTTTATATCCTACAAAAAAAAATCCATTAATTCTGAAATCAATGAGCATTCTATTTTAGCCTAAAAACCATAAATGGACTTACTTCAGGAGATTGTTTAGAATATGAATTAGCGGCATCCAGTTCTTTGATAGCTGCAGTTAGTTTGTCGGCGTCTTGTGCGTACCGTCGGCGCTCCTCCATCGGCAGGTCGGAACACTCCATGTATGACTAGGAGATATTATCGTCATCAATATTCTATGGTATTATTATGCTAATGGCCCGTCTCAACACTGGCTGATAGAGGCTCTGATTCAGCTTAAAAATGACACTATCGGGTAACAAAATCCCATATTTCTATCACATATTTTACGCGTTCGATTATCAGACAATTTACATTTAGGTCGGAGAGTAGCCCCAGTGATAGAGAAGGTAAGGAGTAAAATGTTAGCATGGTATGGGCATGTTATGAGGCCCTCCTCATAACATGACCATGAGACCTCATACCATGCTAACATAACATAACATGTGTTACAAGGTCGTTAGTTATGTGTGTGGTACTCCAGTAGAAGTAGACATAGAAAGAGATGGATTTCGTGAGAGTATGTTCAAGAAGTGAGTGACTGAGATGACGGATGACTGAGTTATTTGGAGGACGAACACTTGATGTGACCCTACCTTATAATTATACAAAATGTCTGAAGCTAGTTGTCTCATTGGTGAATTCTCAATCTTCAGCGTAGTTTCTTTCCTTCTTCTAACCAATGTTTCATTCTTAATATCATGTTTTAAACCATCCAATAGTTTCTCCAAACTCTTAGATTCAACTTCTAAATCTTTTATGGAAGTTTGTTCAGGTTGCGAAGACAGAGGTTTCCATATTGAGGAGTATTGCTTGACTTTTGAGGACAGCTGGTCTGCGGCCGTGAGGAGGATGCTCTGGCTTTCTGGATGTTGGATCAACGGTGCTACAAGCTAAAAAATTTTAATGAAAATAACATTTATTACAATTTCACACAGAAGAATTTAGTCAAATTTTCTTTACTAAGAGCGTACACCTTTGACTAAACAATCACACAACCGTTGTGCGATTATCGATTGTTTCGCAGCCAATTCAACTGTTTAGTTATTCAGAGGAATCTAAGCGAAACTAAATTTGTGTGATATAGTTTAGTCAAAGTGTGTGCGCGCTCTTATTATACGGTTGTTGCTATTTGATTCTGCAAATTATCAACGAAAACCTTATTATATTAAAAATCAGACATATTAAAACATTCATTTAGTTAGGTATCATCAACATTTTTACAGTTATGGTCTTTGATCATGAATTAAAAAGAGGGAACAGAAAGTGATAGAGAAGATAGCTAAAGAGGAGAAGCCTTTCAGATATCAGAGAGTGATCGCGAACCTCAGGAATGAGGAAACGATGCTGCGAGAGAGAGAGAGTGTTGTGTGGTCGCTGGTTGTGTCTCACCTTAGTGACGTAGAGCAGTTTGCTGGCGGCGTCGGCGCAGCGCGTGCCGCAGCGGGCGAGGCCGGCGGCGCGCGCGCTGGCCCGCTGCGCTGCTGCGGCGCCGCACGTGGCCAGCCGCGACGCGCAGTCTCCTATCACTTTCGCTCGACTGAGCACCTGATATAGTGATTCCAGGAGAAACATTCAAGGGTTAAAAAAGCCAACCCTGAAGATCTGTGGCTTCTGTATGTGTTTATTAATGTAGCTTTCGCTCCCGACTCTATCCGCGTGGAATTTAAAAAAATCAAAGTAGTTAACCTATATGTTCTTCTAGAGTATACTCTACATCTCTGTAAAATTTTATAGAGATCCGTTCAGCAGTTTAGGCTACAAACTCTAACAAACATCCATCCATCTAAACTTTCACATTTATAATATTAGTAAGGTTCAGCCGTTCTAATGAGACATTCTAGATTTCATTTCTGATGACAATAATTTTTTTTTACCTGTCTCTCTTGTTCAGGGTCCACTTGAGAGCCGATGCCGTATAGAACTTTAGCAGATTTATTCGCGAAGTCAACTGCGGCTTCGTTTAATTTCTGTAATCATTACATTTCATTAGTTAGTTATTTACTTAACTGGTATATAAGTGAGTTTAGATGTAACTTACCTCATTATTATCTTTAGCAGTTCTACATAACGTTTTAGTCGCTTCGCACAGAGCTAGACTATCGTCGACGATCGGTTTTCCTTGCAGTTGTGGACTGTTGTAGAGATCTCTTGTATCTGAATTAAAAAGATTATTCTTTCTGTTATCCTCACTTGTTTAGTTAGACATTTGGAGTTTTTTCTTCATTAGTTAATCTCTTACCTATAACAATCGTTGGAATTAGTTCAGCTAAGTTATTTGCTGATTTGGACGCCCCTTTGTAGTTAATATTCTCTGGATCTAAAATCAAATTTGAAGTAATATTAAAATTTATTATTAAAGAACTTGGAGGCAAATTTAAAGCCATGGACATCAGAATGTAACCGTTATATGCATTTTAGAATCTATAAAATAACGTGTTTGTTAATAAAGAGAACAAACCATTGCATATAACAAGATGTGAGGCAGCCACATTCGCCAGCACCAGCTTCCTCTCCAAGCGCTCCGCCGCCGCAGCCGCGCCCTCCGACAGCAGCGACACACTCTCTATGTCACGTATCTAATAACATAAACACAGTTTAATTTTAAAATTTCATTTAAAATAGATGGCGTTGTGTTAAATCACTAAAAACTGAAGACTGTAGTTTTAAATAGATGGCGTTGTCATCTATCTTTAAAAACAGAAGACGTTATTTAAATAGATAGCGTTGTCTTCAATCTTTATAAAACGAAATAGATGGCGTTGTCTTTAATCTTTGTGAAACAGATGACAGTAACTTTAAATAGATGGCGTTGTCTTCTATCTTTGTAAAACAAAATAGATGGCGTTGTCTTCAATAATTAAAACCAGATGACCGTAACTTTCCATAGATGGCGGTGTCTTCAAGCTTTGAAAAGCAAATAGTCCAAGTCTAAACCACAAAAAAAGATTAGGATTTAAATCATGATGAGTTTAAAAGTATCAGGTGGTATTACTAGTAAGGTATTTAAAAAGCGTTTATAGAACAAATAACTAAATTATTGAAGTTTAGTTTGACCTTTCTGATTTCTTCTTCGGTATCTTCAATGTTATTGATCGCTTCATCAATTGATTTGGCAAATTGTTTCTTATCTTCTGTTTGGTCTAATGTAGATATTCGTTTAGGTACAGCTGGCTTCAGCGGCTTCAGTGTTGTATCTGAAATTTTATAATACTCAATACTAATATAATAAAACAGAAAGTTTTGTATTTTTGTACGTATTGGAATAAATCAAAAACTACAGGGCCGATTTTAAAAATTCTTTCACCGTTAGAAAGGTAATTTATCTGTAACGTAGGTCATGTTTTATTACTTTTATTTATTTTACGCGTATTAGTCGCGAAGAATAGCTAGTTTCCTATAAATTTTTAGTTTATTGGATGTGAAATTATGCAACTTGTTACATACCCAATAGCTTTTATTGCAATAGTTTCTTGTATATTATTCCTTTAAATGGGAAAATAATTAAAACATTATTTGACTGTTTATGTCAGTCTACACGGAAACTCGCCATCTAGCGGAGAGGGCGAGTAGTTAAAAGTCTAATTCGTCCGTGTCGCATCTATCTCAGTATATATATTATCTATGCTTTTGACTATTATGTCAATTTAGTTAATTAAATTATCATTCTTACCCGTTGCATCTTTACAAGCTGCTCTCAACTCGTTAATAGCGTTCAACAGTTCCTTCTTCTTGTGGCCCAGTTGGTCTTTAACTTCCTGTTGCTGGGGATCCTGCAGCAAGGAGGTCCACGTGTCTTCTACTTTGTCGGCCAGGGTAGAGACTTCGTCGGCTGATTTCAGTAGTGTTGCTTGACAGGTCGGATCGTCTATAGATGAAGCAGTAAGCTATAATAGAAAAATAGTAAATTACTTGATTATTATAAGTTAGGTTCATTATTGCTAATATTATAAAGATGACTTTGTTTTTTGTACGTATTGAAATAACTTGAAAACTATCAGGTCGTTTTTAAGAATTCCTAAACTACAAAAAAGCTACGTTTTCACTGAGTAACATAGGCTATATTTTTACTTTTATTAATTTTCAAAGCAAGACTAAACAGTTGTGCGATAGTTTAGTCGAAGGTGCGAATATTGCATAATAATGGTGTGTCAGTGACCTGTGCGACAGTGAGCAGCAGCTGCGCGGCGTCCACCACCCGCGCCCCGCGCGCGTCCAGCAGCGCCCCGCCCCGCCCCGCAGCGCCCGCAGCGCCCGCAGCCACCTGGCACACCTGCGACAGCAGCACTGCCGCCTTGTCGCACACCGCCTTCGATAGCTCCACTATCTAAAATATACAATGTATTAATGTTAATCATAGTAATACTAACTTTCGCCCTCGACTCTGTCCGCGTGGAATTCAAAAAAATCAAAAGTAAGTGCCTTATGTGTTCTACCAGACTATCCTCTTCTACATCGATCTTCGTTGCTATAAACTCTACCAAACATCCACCCATCTAAACTTTCACCCATTGTACAAACATTCTTATGTATAATCTTATTTTTTACTAATATTATAAATGCGTAATATTAGTAAAAAATAAGATTATACATAAGAATGTTTGTACAATGGGTGGATGTTTGTTAGAACATATCTACTTCTAGACTTCTAAAAAATACTCTATTCTAGAAATTTGCAAAATCCGTAGAACAGTCTGGAAGAATACATAGACTACTTATTTTTGATTTTTTCCGAGCATATAGTCACGAGTTGAGCCTAGTAATATATATTATGTCTTACCAGATTTTCTCTCTTTATGTTAGCTCTAGGATTGTAAACGTAACAGAGTTTGCTGGACGCGTCAACCAGCTTGGTTATTGGTTCGTAGGCATTCTGAAAAATGTTTAACATTGAAATAAAGAAAAATGCATGTTATTTTTTTATTTTACGCGGGCGAAGTCGCAAGCAACAGCTAGTCTTCAATAACTCACTTTAGCTTGTCCCAGCTCTGATTCAAGATAAACATCTCTAGTTGCTTCACAAAGAGTCTTCAATGAGTCCAACATATCATTCCTGGCAGCTCCATCTAGTGGTAAGGTCTTTGAATCTGAAACACATACATAATTCTTTTAGTTCCACTTTTCTATAAAATTTTGCACTTTTCCAGTTAGTGCGATTTTCAAATAAAGCGCACCTTCTGAATTGTAAATGACATTGTATTTAAATTGTTAGTTATTTCTTATCCAACATTAGATTCTTTTTTATAATTACCTTGAATAATCTGTGGCAGGCATTCATTTATAATTTTCACAGCTTCATCCGCTTTTTTGTAATCTGAATTTGAAGGATCTGTAAAAAAAAGCATCCTGATATTATTTATTTTTATTTTTAAATCTATGTCAATCAAGACTTTAGTAAATTATCAAGTCATCATTTTGTAGGTACTTCCATACATCACTCTCTTCATATATTCACACAATCCATCCATACTTCTTTCCTTTATGTGGCATTTCTCAATCTCATTATATTCTAGTACTTGTATATTTTACTAGATAAGCCAGTAATGTACCAGTGGAATGTATCAATGAGGCGATAGCTGCGTTCAGGTGAGCCAGTCGCTGCGCCAGTCGGCGCTGGTGGTCAGGACTTGAAGACACTGGAGCTGGTGCTGAAGGCTGCAAGCAGAAAATATTTTAGAAGAGAAACATTAAAAAACGAAAGGTTAAAACTATGGAGATTAAGATGAATTCCTCTATTCATTACTCCCAAATTTATTTCAGAATATGCTGGAGGCTGGTTGAAATTAGAAACATGAAATTAAAAAAAATCTAATGTTTTTTTTTCTAATGAAAATGCGATTTATAAATGTTGTGATAGATTGATCTGGATAAAACTTGGTAAAAAAATAGATTGCTTTGAAAAACAAATAAAATTGACATAATCTATTTTATTTCAAGGAACAAGGTAACACTAATAAAGTGCATAGTTTTTTGTAAAAATTACTACCTTCTCCAATTCATTCTTAGCTTCAAGTATTTGTTTTTTGGCATCTGATAATGTGGATATGAATTTCAATCTCTGCTCTTCTGACTGTAAAGGTCCTGTTAAAGAAAAACTAATTATTCATGTAAGATTTCTAGATCTATAGAAAAAGATATATATATTCCAAATAGAAGATAACTCATCTATACTAATAATATAAATAGAAAAGAATTGTATTTTCGTATGTATTGAAAGTAAAAATCTACTAAGCCGCTTTCAATAATTCTTTCAACATTAAAACGCCATGTAATCACACAAAATTGCGAGCAATAACTAGTTTATATTTCACAAAACTTACCATCAACATCTTCATAAACAGCATTCGATCTTAAAGTTTGTGATGTTAACCATTTCTCGGTCAATTCGTCGGAATCTCGCGCCGCCGCCTGGGCAGCCGTCACTGGAATCAAAAATGTACTTCAATACTTAAATCATTCTCATTTAATTAGTCCCTACAGCCTGAGATCTTAATACATTAGAGCGCGCAAACCTCTGACTAAACTATCGCACAACTGTTTAGTCTCGCTTTAATTCCTATGAGCTTATATGGAGTTGCGCACATTACTCGATTTATGTGCAACTAAACAGTTGAATTGGCTGCGAAACAATCGACAATCGCACAACGGTTGTGCGATAGTTTAGTCAAAAGTGTGCACACGCTCTTAAAACCTTTTTGGTATTGGGATATACTTTGTGTGAATGAAATAGTAATAATCTGTTAGAAATTTGAAAATTTAATAAATACTTGTCGCAGGAAGCTATAAATTGACTGTTGCTTTATGTGTAACAAATGTTATTGTCTTAGGTTTTAATATTGTTTAAGATAATTTAATTAATTTAATTCCTTTTTTTTCTCGAAAGTAGAAACTCGATGTCATTTGTATTTAGTTCTTTTTAAAATTAAAAGTACGTCAACTTGCATACGACCAATAAGAGCAGAGCAAGCGGCTCGAGTGGCCTTTATTAGCTCGAGCGGGGTCGAGGCGCAGTTCAGTGCTTAGAGGGCGACGTTTGTAGTGACATGTTGTGGTGCGTGTTGGCACAGTGGCGAGTCGATTGAGGAGAGTAGTGTAGTAGAAGTACGAACAGGTGCCACGAACCCGCTGCTCGGTCTTGCTTGTTGATTTGCTATGTGATAAGTGTAGATTCCGAATTATATTGTGTTAATCCGTGTCTCTAGTGTTTTAATGCTCGCACTTCACCCAAATAACGCCCACGAAACCAAGACCCGGTAGCAAAGATGTCGGGGAGAAAGACCCAACTCCGACATACTAATAAAGCAAACATAACTGTTGAATTCAACTGCCCTGGTATAAAGTATATTATTCTATCTCTGTTTCGTTAAAGGGAATGAAAGAGATGCAGATAAGTTATAGTAACGTGTACTGACCAACATATTGTCCATAAGTATCTCGCAAATCATCTAAAGCAGTTTCCAACTTATTTTTCTTGGCCTCTAATTGTTCGACGACGTCCTTGTATTCAGGGTCTTGTTTCATTGGACTGTAAGCGTCGGCTAGTTCACAAGACGCAGCACTAACTCCCGCGATGGCTACTAGAGCATTGTCTGTGGTCTTTCTACCTTTAGGAGCTTGCACTTCTTCCTGTTGGAATAGAAAATGTTTACAATAAAGCAGTACAGAGATTCAAAAATATATAGAGGAGACATAGACTACATTTTTTTTCAACAACGCCATCTATTGAATAGATCCTCAAAACTATTAATTATATTTAAATTGGTTGCCAATAGATGTCATTAAATAATATGTTTTAATGTTACTTTTTTTTAGTTTATTCTATACCAAAACATGAAAATTACTATAATTTTACATGTAAATACGAGGCACAAGGTGGTACTAAACTTGACAACTAGCAATGTACCGGTGAAAAAAAATTGTGCCTCGTCTATTCTTTTTAAATGTCTTTAAGTACAAATGAGAATATTACGATATCATTATATTTCCTGAGATGTTAATACACTTTATTTAATTACAAAAAACAAGTTTTTCTACAAAATCTATTGTAAACAATAGAAAGTGCTCTTTATTTATCCGACTCGAAGGACCAAGTTCTCAAAACTCACAGCTACAACGGAGTACATGTGTTGTACCGCGTCCACCAGCCCCTCCCCGCACCGCACCAGACGCTCCCCCTCTTCCCCCGGCAGGCCGGCCGCCAGGGTGCTGACGTCATCTGTCATGTCCGACGCGATATTGTACATTTCCTTTGACAATCGATTCATCTGAAAATATTTCAACACATAAATGCCACAATTTAATATTCCAAGTAGAAAAAGACATGATTAATTTGTAGGTGACAATAAAATAATGATATAGAAGAGAAGAGAGAGAGAGAGAATGATAGAGAAGTTTTCAAATTTATTTCTATGTTATTTTGTTCATTAAAGTTTCAAAACGTTGTCAACTTAGGAATAAAGTTGTTAAGTTATAATAATAACTAACTGTTGCTCGCGACTTTGCCCGGTTGAAATCATACATTTAATATTATAAATGCGAAAGTTTGGATAGAACTTACTTTAACTAAATCTGCATTTGGTGCAGTTCTTTTTGCTTCTACATCCCTTCTCTTGCGTACTTGTATATCTTCTGGCAGTCCTATATCTTCATCTGAAACGTTAAATAAAGTATCAAATCAAAATAACAAGAAATAGAAAGAAATATTTCTTTATTACGTTAGAAAAAGACCGCAGGTAAATAGGATATGCGTAAGAAGGGAGTGAATTCTATACTAACCTTTAAAATCTTTACAAATAGATCGTAAATTATCTAATGCCAATTTTAATTCATTATTCTCCTTTTCAAGACTATCCACAGCAGTCTTGTGTTGTGGTTGACGCTTCGCCGGTGACCAGGCTGCCTTTAATTCCTCGGACAGTGAAGAAACATCGTCTATTGCAGATAATAAGGAATTCTTGCAAATAGGATTGCTTAATGACGGCTCCAATATCTGTAAAACAAAGTTTATTAAATCATAGTAAAAGCAAGCGCACACCTTTGACTCAAATATCGCACAACAATTGTGCGATAGTTTAGTCAAATGAACACTAACACTAAATATAAAAATATGCTTTGGATTACATTTTTTTGTTAGAATGTCGATATAATTTACCTGTGCAGTTGTCAGCAAAGATTTAGAAGCATTGACCAGTTTTACTCCACAATCATCGAGGTGAGTTCCATCTTCTCCTTCCAAGTTCTTCCCCAACTCGTGAACATCTGTCAGCAACTTCGAAGCTTTATTACAAGTTTCGGTTGTTAACTTCGTTATCTGGAAATACACAAATTCTAGAAGTTTTATCTGAAATCTGTATTTCATACCTAATACTGATCCTAGAGTAAAAAGCCGAGTATTCTTACTAATATTATAAATGCGAAAGTTTAGATGTTTGTTAGAGTTTGTAGCCTAAACTGCTGAACGGATCTAGATTACATTTGGTACAGATGTAGGGTATAGTCTGGAAGAACACATAGGCTACTCACTTTCAGAGTCGCTAGTATGCTAGTATAAAGCAAATTTCATTTGCTATTACAAGAATAACATCGATTAAAGAACAAAATAAAATAAAAATGTTAATTAACAATACCACAGATAAAAAAAATTATTTACAGAATATTGAATTAACTATTTGAGATTATAAAAATTGTTTTACTTACGTTGTTGTTCCTTGAAGGTGATTTAGGTTTGAAAACGTAGGTCAGCTTTCCTGATGCTTCAGCGAAATCGAGAGCTGTATCATTAATAGCCTGGAAATATATATATTAGATTAACTCTGAATCAGTTTTATTCAAAATTTAAATTAACATAAATTACATCTACACTATCAACAATACACAAAATCTAAGATATAACTTCTGGTGCAAAAATCAACTTTTAATATCTGGTAAAACTTGTGCAAAAACGTGATCAAATTATAGTCATTAGAGACTCCAAGGCATTAAATCCTAAAACTGGTTAGATAACCTCTAAATAGTTAAATGTTTTAGAATAGTATTGTACTAAACGTATTTAGTATTCTCGTGCAATCGTAGGTGCGTACCGACCAATATAACAATGTTACAAGGTGTATCATTCGCATCGAGCGTCGCTCTTTTCGCTGTAACACTACATACTGACTTTATAAATGTTCGACATGTAATGTTACAATACACAGAAAACAGTTACATCTTTAATGATATCCTAGAAGATATAATTTTCTTTAGAATCATCAATGACTTGAATAATCACAAGTATTGTTATTATTAAAAGTATTGCAAATTAGCTGTTCCCGTGTGACTATGTCCATGAATTTTACGCTTGACAAATTTGTTCCAAATTATTCAACCTCTAAATTAAATAGTCTGTAGCGTGCCGTAAGCGTTACTTTTTATAATAAAGCCTCCCAATTATTTTTTCAAAAATATGTTGGGATTGCTGATATCCTGCATAACAAAAAAGTATGTTTATATTGTAAATCGATACTGTGCCGAAGTAACGGCGCAACACTAGATTATTGGCATACACGTCCCATCCCTATATCTGTCAAAGTCAATCAGGTTAGCGCGTCATTCTGGCGGGAATCGATAGACTGATTATGAAAGTATATTTACGTTTTTACAATAATGTCTGAAAGTGTATATTAGTATATGTTTGTACCTGCGTATCTCCTTGTTCAGTGTATTTGCAGATATCTCTTGTCGCATTGAACAGTTTCTGCAGTTCGCGCAACATCGCGCGCTGAGAGACATCGTCGTTCACATTGCTTAGTGAATGTGTTTCTGAGACGATAAACAGAAAATCATCATCATCATCATCACCACCTCATTATACGTCCCCACTGAGGGGCTCGGAGCCTACCCTAAGTTAGGGTGACTAGGACATAGTCAACCACGCTGCACAGCGGGTTGACTTTACACATCTTTGAATTTTTTAGCCGATATATGCAAGCATCAGGATGTTTTCCTTGACCGTAAGAACGTCGTAAATTTTGTACATATGAAAATCCGATAAATCTAAAATCACATTGGTACGGCGGGATTCGAACCCAAGACCTGTAGATTACAAGTCAAGTGCTTAAACCACTGCGCCACCGACGCTCTTTGAACAGAAAATCATCTCCATTCTTATGCTACTCTAGTAGGGCACCGGGTTTTCCTCCAAATCTATCATCCGTCATCTCAGTCACTCTCTTCTTGATCATCCTTATAATCCTCTTTCTACGTCTAGAACATTCTCTGTTATTATGTACCACCTAGGTTCGCGATTACTTCCGCGTTAAAAAAAAAAACAAAACCAATTATTCTATTGTTTTCTTCCAGACTATCCTCTACATTTATAACAAACTAGCTTTCGCTCGCGACTCCATCCGTGTGGAAATAAAAAACAAAAGTAAGCCTATGTGTTCTTTTATACTATCCTCTTGATTTATGACAAATTTCATAGAGATTCAGCAGTTTAGGCTACAAACTCGTAACAAACATCCATCTAAACTTTCGCATTTATATTACTAAGAAAAATTTTTTTTTTCTTAAGGTGAAAAATTGACTATATGCTGATAGTTAAAAAATGTAATGTGTTAAAAAAATAAATTAAAAACTGACCGTTAATAACATCTGGCAGCAGTTGGGAAATTTTGGCAATACTTTGTTCTGCTGCATTATAATCTACATTATTGGAATCTGAAAAAAAAACAAAGGATTAAATTGTTTTTTTTATAGTAGAATATGGTAAATGTCAGTTATCGTAGATTGTCAATATCGATGTGAGAGCTATCTTTAAATATATGTTAGTTAAGAAACAAATGCCTTTGTTAGATAAAAGGACGTAGAAAGGGCATATTGGCTGTAATTCGTTATTTTATTAATATACTAGCTGATACACGCAATTTCGCCCGCGTGAAATTGAAAAGTATAGCCTATGTTACTCAGTAACGTAATGATGAAAGAATTTTTGAAATCGACCTAGTAGTTTTTTAATTTCAATACATATGTTGTTGATCTGAATGTTGAGACACCAAAGTTGAGGATGAAAAGTTGCATGTGGCTGAAATGTGTATGTTAAGATGGATGTGAGGTGTGACAAGAATGGATAAAGTTAAGAATGTATATTAGAGGAAGTTTGAAAGTAACAGTGGTGGAGAAATTGAGAAGCAAAAGGTTAGCGTGGTATGGACATGTTATGCGACGGGACGATGGGGACATAAACCAGAAAGTGTTAAGAATGAATGTGGATGGCTTCAAAGGAAGAGGAAGACCGAAGAATGGAAGGATCGTGTGAACGAGGATATGCTTAAGAAAGGAGTGGATTCAGATAGGACGGCTGATAGAGATGCATGGAGCAGCACATACTGTGCCGACCCTCCGTAAGGGATATAGGCAAGTTAATGATGACATACAAAAATACAAATCATTCCTCTTTATAATATGAGTATAGAATTACCATTAGTAGCACGGACAAGTGCTGCTATTGCAGCATTGAGCTGTGCCAGTTGGTCTGCCAGTCTGCTTTGTACAACTGTCTTGTCTTCAGATACAATGTCGTTTATTGGCTGCAAGAAAATTAATTCAAAACTTCCTCCACTTTCTCCCTTTATATGTGGTTTAGATGCAAAAGGTTTCAAATCGATTTCTTTTCACGAGATACTTAACTTACCTTTTCTAACATCTTTTCTGCGTCTAATATTTTATTCTTTGTAGATGTCATCGTCGCGACGAACCTCAATCGTTCTCTTTCCTTCTCTTCTGATTTTGGATCCTGGGATTTATTATTTTCTTCACCTAAAATAATCACTGAACATAGCTATACGCGACGATTATAGTTATTTTTGCGGACCAGAGACCAAATTATCGAACAACTATTTAGTTTCGTGTTTATTGCTATGAGCTTATACGGAGCGCACACTACTCGATTTTTAGTTGTACAACTAAACAGTTGTGCTGTGAAACCGACATTCACACAACTGTTGTGCGATACAAAGTCGTGCGCCCGCTCTAAAATTCATGAAATTGAATATAGAGGTCTACAAAGATTGGACAAATTTAGAAATGCCATCAGATAATATAAGAAAAAGGGTAGTCAATTATCGGTTTAGTAATAGACATACCAAATTTCTGGCAAACAGCTCTTAAATTGTTAAGTGCGGTTTCCAGATCTGCTTGTCCTTTATGTAGATTTTGTCGTAATTGTTGATGCGCTGGGCCGCGGACCAGCGGCGCCCAAGTCTCGGCCAGTCGCTGGCTTGCTGACGACACGTCGTCGGCCACGCCCAGCAATGTTGACTGACACCGAGCGTCGGCGAAAGATGACGCTGTTATCTATTTGTACAAGAAAATGTTAAATAGGGAATACGCATGTATTTTCTTATTTTATAAACGTTTTTGTTTGGTATAAGATAATAAGAAAAACAAAATGAAAAAAGACACCAAAATTGAGCTAAAAAAAATCACAATAATTTTGATGCGACTAAAACGCAGACGGAGTGTTGTGACGTCATCAAACAAAAAATTAATTGATTGGTTATCAGAGTTATCAAAAGTAAAAATTGATTATAATCACTCATAGCTTGCTTCGAACAACAGTGTTGCGTTTTAGAACTTGGCAAGGGAGTTTTAAAAAAAAAACAATTTTTATAGTAATAAAGTACACAGAAAAAACTGTTTAATTTGGCGTCATATGCATATTACCTATTCAATCTTACACTTTCATCACCAGGTTACCTGTGCGGTGGTGAGCAGCGCCTGCACGACGTCCACCAGCCGGGCTCCCTGCGCGTCCAGCAGCTGCCCCTCCTCCACCTCGTCCACCGCCTGGTTTACGTGCGTCAGCAGCTCAGATGCTTGCTCACAAGTCTTCTTTGCTAAATCTATCATCTAAAAAGATAAGATATTTAGGAAACATATAGACGAGGCAGTGGACATTTTTCCATCCGTACTTTCTCTGAAAGGTATTATATATCAGGTTTAGTGCCATCTCGTGTCGTTTTAATAAAACATTTGGCGAAATTATATTAAGCGCCATCTTTTACTATAAAAACTAAACAGCGTAAAAAAACAAACATTAGATTTTGTGAAAAATGTTTCAAGTGAAATAGGAACTTTGCCTACTCTATATCTTTTTTGAATCTCTTTGGTACTTTTTAAATCCAAAACTGTAATTCGTTAAATTTATAGTTCCATATTTTTGTTATTGTTATTTATTTTTCTTACCATATTCTCTTTCCTGGGATCAGTTCGAGGTATAAAAGCGTAGCACAACTTTGAGGAATGTCGGGCGAAGTTTGACGACGCACCATTCGTCTCCTGAAATTAGATTTTTTAGTTAATGTATCTTTTTAGATAAAAAGCTGTGATAAATATATGTCGTCCTTATTAGATCAGTTTAATAATGTAATCCATACAAAGAGGAAATATTTCTGTCTTCGTATTTTTGTCTATATTGAAGTAACTCAAAAACTACTTGGCCGGTTACATTTTTAAATTTCACGCGGACGAAGTCGTGAGCAACAGGTTTTGTTTAATTTTAGGAAGACAGAAATTGTTTTAAAAATTACATCTAAAATATCTTACAAAAGATGGCGCCTTAACTAATACAGTGCAATACGTAAAAAGTCACACGGAATAATAAACTTTCTATAGATAATTATTAATTAAAAACGCACCTGCATCGTATTATCCTCAGTGGTCGCACAAACGTCTTTGATAGCATCAAGCAGTGCCCGAGTCTCGTTCACTTGCGCTCGTCCTGTCTTTTCGTCTTTCGTCCCACTAATTGTTTTCATATCTAGATAAAACGAAAAAGTTAAACATATAGAACCTAGATATAAAAAGAGATCTACAAAGCTTTAAATAAAGGAAGATGTTAACGCTTGTTGTAGCTTCGATAATTTGGTTTTCCTACCTCGTACTAAATCTGGTATTAAATCTGACACCAAGGCAACTGCCTCTTCTGCTGTTGCGTAATCTGGATTCTCCTTGTCTGAGAAAAAAAAGAACTTACAAAATACAGTTACATAGTATACAGTGATTAGTAAAGTAAAGGGGAAAATTTACAAGGATCTGAATGTTGGGCAGTAAAAAGGACAGATGAAAGGAGACTACATGTGGTAGATGCGAATGTTAAGATGGATGTGTGGTATATTAGAGGAAGTTTGAGAGTAGCCCCAGTGGTAGAGAAGGTAAGGAGTAAAAGGTTAGCATGGGGGCACGTTATGAGGAGGGAATCGTATGTTACAAGGAGAACGTTAGTTATGAGTGTGGTACACCGGTAGAGGTAGACATAGAAAGAGATGGATGAATTGCGTGAAAGGTGACATGATCAAAAAGGGAGTGATGACAGATGATGTATGATAGAGTTATTTGGAGGACAAAAACCTGTCGCGCCCTACGGGAGTAGGATAAGGAGGAAAATGATGATAGTATATTAGCTAACTTAGAGCTTAAAAGTTTAAGTATGGAAACTTACCAGCAATAGCTCTTATGAGACTGGCGATGTAGGAGTTTAACAAAGCCAGTCGTTGTCCTAACAGACGTTCCAGCTCCTTATTGTCTCCAGAACTAACTGGACAAGGCTGAATGAAATAATAAAATAAATACAATTCTTATTTATAATATTGTTTTTTACTTATCTTTGACATTGACCTCAAAGGTTAAGAAAAACATTTAATTAATTATTTCATTTACCCAAGGAAAGAGATTACAAAAAAGTATAGAGTAGACATAGTAGGCACTTTACTTGAGACATTTTTAGCACCCACTAACGCTATCTGTTGATAGATCCTCAAAACTACATGTCAATATAATTAATTGTGTTTAAATTATTCGCCAATAGATGTCATTACTTTCAAGGACAAGAGGTGGCACTAAACTGATGTATATCTTTCAGAGAAACTACCGGTGACAAAATGTTCAGTGTAGTCTATAGATTTTTTAAATGTCTGATCCTGAGTAAATTCTAAGTTTAAATAAAATTATCCTTTCTGTAACGAATACTAGAAATCCCGGCAGAATTAATTATTGTCTTATTACATGTACCTTGTCTAATTCCTTTTGTGTTTCGGATATTTTACTTATAGTATCTTTGACACTGGCAATGAACTTGAGACGATCTCTCTGTTTTACTTCATCATTATCTTGACTGCTTTCTTCTGTAAAAATATTTTCTCTAGTACTAAATTCTTTATTTAGGTTTTTATAAGAAAATCTTTTGAGTTATTATACCTGAAAGATCAGTATAAGCTTGTTTCAATCTATCCAAGGCTTTCATTAAATCTAAGCAGAGAGTTTGCAATGTCTCATCATAGATGGCGCAGCCCGGCTGCTCTACGAGCGGCTTCCAGGCGAGGGCAAGGCGCTGCGCGGCCGCCGCCAGCGCCGCCGCGCCCGCAGACATCGCGCTCTGGCAATGCGGCTCCGTTATAGATGGCGCTGTCAGCTGGAATCACACGAAATACTATAGATGGCGCTATTTTCAATTAACGAATTTTGAACTTAAGTAAAATCAAAATCTTACGTATTTTTCTTCACGTATCTGGACACTATCGTATTAAAGGATAATAAAGTGTTGGTAGTGCACACTTACGTTTATATTTCTTACTAGGTGTTTCTCGCGACTTCATCCGCGTGAAATTAAAAAAGTAAGTTATTTACGGATAAATTATCTTGCTAATGGTGAAAGAATTTTAAAAACGGTCCAATAGTTTTTGAGTTATTTCAATACATATAAAAATGTAAATCTTTCCTCTTTATAAGATTAAGACTACAGTTCTCAGAGGTGTTCAAGCTCTAAAGGTTTGTTATAAAAAATCCATATTTCGGTATATACCTGTGCACAGGCGAGCAGTATGTCGGAGCGGTCCCCGCAGCGCGCGGCGCTAGCCAGCAGTGCGGGCGCGCGCGGGCCCCCCGCCAGCCGCGCCAGCTCCCCCGCACGCTGCACCAGCAGCGCGCTCTTAGCGCCCACGTCACGGCTCAGATCCATCACCTGGAACAGGTCTCATCATCTACCTTATCCTACTCCCATAGAGCACACCGGCTCTTCATCCTCCAAATCTATCTACCGTCATCTCAGTCACTCCCTTCTTGATCATACTTTCTTGTAATCCATCTCTTTCTATGTCTACTTCTACTGGAGTACCACACTCATAACTAAGGTTCTTGTAACATGTGATTCATCCCTCCTCTTAACATACCTACCTTTTACTCCTTACCTTTTTACCACTGGGGCTACTTTCAAACTTCCTCTAATCTCGATCAGTTCTGATAGTAATATTTGGTTCTAGACGACAATTTTTTTTTTATATGAGAAGGGGCAAACGAGCGGCGGGAACACAAAGGTGGTCAACGACGCCCATGGACATCCGCAACACCAGAGGAACTACAGATGCGTTGCCGGCCTTTGAGGAAATTGTAGGCTCGCTTCTTGAAGGACCCTAAGTCGTATTGGTTTGGAAATACCGCCGAGGACAGACCGTTCCACAACGCGGCTGTGCGGGGCAGAAAGTTCCGCGAAAACCGCACAGTTGTGGAATGCCACCCATCGAGATGGTGAGGATGGTACCTGGCGGTCTGTCGTGTCGTCCGATGACGAAATTCGGCGGCAGGAACAACAACGTTCCAAACAACTCCTCGGAACACTCCCCGTGGTAAATATGTATAGACACTTATTAATACCTTAATCCTCTACTGCTTACTGCTTGCCGGATAAACCTTATAATCAGAAGTAGAGTATGTCACGATATAGTAAATTTACCTGATTTTCCTTATCAGGCACGGAGCCCCGACCCAACGTGAAGATTAATTTGTCGGAAGACTTCGCGTACTTAAGGGCCAAATCTTGCATCTTCTATAAATACAAACAGAAAAACTAACAAATTTAAATCTACACCGACGGATTTTTCAAACCATTTGTTGGAAAAATCCGTCGGTAACTGTTATATCCAATTCAAGCAAAAAACTATCGCACAACTGTTTAATCTCGCTTTGATTCTTATGAGTTTAGAGCGAATACTACTCGATTTTTAGTTGTGCAACTAAACAGTTGAATTGGCTACGAAATATACGACAAGCTCACAATGTTGTTTGAAAGTTTGGTAAAAAGTATGTGGCCGCTCTGAATCTACTCGTATTTACACGACGTTCTTACTGTGAAGGAAAACATCGTGATGCACATATCTGCGAAGAAATTCAAAGATATGTGTGAAGTCAACCAACCCGCAGTGGGGCAGCGTGGTTGACTATAGCCTAGTCACCCTTACTCAAGGTAGGCTCCGAGCCCCTCGGAGGGGACGTATAATGAACTGGTGATGATGAAACGAGTGTGGCAATAAATGTGGTATTGAATAAATCCGATAAAATACCTCCTTATCCTCATCTCCAGTCATGGCGCAGATGTTCCTGGTGGCGTCGCAGAGCGCGCGGACCTTGCTCAGCAAGGAGATGCGGGACCTGTCGTCCTTCACGCTGCCCAGACCCTTCACATCTGGTAAAACAATAATTAATCTCTAGAGAAAAAAGCTTATACCAGAAGACAGACTTAGTTTCGGTTTACCCCCCCTCTGATCCTCAGTCTAACCTCTCCACCTTGATTCTGTCTACACCCCCCCTTTATCCTTAGTCTTCCCCCCAACCATTGATCGTCAGTCTACACCCTCTTTGATCCTTAGTCTATACCCCCCTTTATCCTTACTCATCTCGCCACCCATTGATCATCAGTCTACAGCCCCTTGATCGTCGGTCTGCCTCTCTAGACGGCTGGTGGCGCCTATAATGGACATCATGAAAATGACACTTACCTTGAATTAACTCCGGTAATAATTCATCAATCGTTGTCATAGAAGTGATGGCCGCTGTGTAGTCCAGGTTGTCCGGATCTGAATAACAAAATAACATTTTTTTTACAATAAAGTGATTGAAACGGACATAAAAAGGACATTTCCCCTTCCTATGCGTCTCCGCCACCGTTAAATCCACTTTTCCTTCCCATCCTTTCCTCTTAAGAAAAGGATGGAAAGGGAAAGGTACTAAATTTAGGCCTCCAACACCACACATCAAATTGCACGCGGAATTGGTCCCACTTCACGCCTGTCTTCTGAAGATGTTACTCTACCACTGTATATAACGAAGTTATTTGAAGTCAAATGCAGATAATACTCACCAGTCTGTGCGGACATCAAGATAGCCACAGCCGCACTCAGCTTGCCGACCTTCTGGCGAGCTGCCAGCTCCAGCTCGCACACCTCCTCGCCTTCTGGGATTGAACCCTCGAACGTCTGTTTAAGAGTTTTAATCAACACTTGATATATTCTTTCCTGTATACTTACATTAAAAAACAAAAGACATGTATTTATGTATATTGGGAAAATTCAAAAACTACTGGGATTATTCCAAAAATTACTTCTTCATTAAAAAGGCAATTTATCTGTGAGTAATGTAAGATTTTTTTTATTTTAAGCGTACGAAGTCGCAAGCAATAGCTATCTATACTAATGTTATAAAGTGGAAAGATTTGTATTCTTGTGTTTTTATATGTATTGAAATAACTCAAAAACTACTGGGGCGATTTGAAAAAGTCTTTCACCATTAAAAAGTTCATTTTTCAGAGAGGCTAAGACTATATTTATTACTATTTTTATTTATTTCACACAGATAAAGTCACAAGCAACAGCTAGTCTATCAATATAGAGCAGAAACCAATGTTCAATCTCGATCCATGGATCACCAGATAATATCATCACACATAAATCATAATTTAGCGATATTAATTAACATTTTAGATACCTTTGGTTCAAAACTAAAGTTTCCCACTATATGTAAATTCTCGAAAATATCTCAAATCTCTAATATAATTTCAGCAGTTGGTCTTACCATATCCAAAGCATTTTTGGCGCCATCCACAGCTTTGCAGGCGTGTGCGGCGGCGGCGAGGAAAGACGCGCGGCGCAACGTAGCTTCCGTCTTATCGTCTTCAATGAAACTCTTGTGAGAACGCTAGAAAATTTTAAAAATCATTAAATACTTTGTGCGTTACGTAGTTCTTTTAGCTTAAGGTCAATAAAAAACTTTTTTTTTTATTATATACCCTCAATATCCTGCTACGTCGCTTAATGCCAGGATCTAGGGAGCAGTACAACTGTGTGCCGTGCCCCACGATCTTCTCTGCTGCATTCTGCGCCTCGTCCAAACTCTCCAGCGTTCCCTGCAATGTTACATCTTCTTTGATCTTCTAGACCAGAGTATATCAAACTTATTTCTCTTACCGCCCCCTTTGATATTCAATAATTTTTCAGCCCCCTACCCCCATTTTTATACAATTTTAGTGAAATTTAAAATGCTAAATAAAATTATAAATTAAACATCGCCCCCTAACCCACACCAACTCCCCCCATTTTTCTGAGGCCCTATAACGCCCTCTCTAGGTTTCATACGCCCCCAAGGGGGAGAAACACTGTTCTAGACTGTCATAACTATAGCTAGCTAGTCTTAATTATATGTTCTTATCTCTAATTGTAAATGGACAAGCCAGGACTACCATTTCATACCCGAAAATATTAGATCATAAGTGGATAGCAAATTTAATTCCTTAACTATACAATTAGTAAACTTACAAAGTCTTTCTCATGCGACGTATCTATAAAATCTTTGAAACTCGCGCATAGCTCGTCCAGTTCTGATAGAATCTTTCTTCTCACTTCCTCGTTGTCGTTCTCAACGCTCTTGTGCACACCTGGTAATAAACAAAATGTATCTCAAAACTAGCTGTTGTCCGCGCCTTCGTCTACCCAAAATTAACATAAAAATTAGCCTGTTATATGTCCGTCTATGTCAGCTACCCTTCAGTGAAAGTCTCATGAAATTGGTCCAGCCGTTTCGGAGATTACCCGGAACAAACGCGACTTGAGGACAGACAGACAGACAAACAGACAGATTTTTTAAAATGCTATTTTCATTATCAGCAACGCAACCACATCGTCCAGATATCTGGAATTTTTCTTTTGATATTACAGACACTGCAATTTTATTACATGTATAGATATATATTACAAGTCATTTTACAAAAGGGGACAAACAGACATTTTAAAATATATAGGGAACAATATATCACCGGTAACTTCTTTAAAAGGTACTTTGTTAGTTGTCAAGTTTAGTACCACCTCAAGTCCTTGTATTGATAAGTTATAAAAACATATTACAAAATTATAATAAGCTCCCTCTTTTGTTACAAAATGAAGTATAACATTTAAATATGATTTAGTGACATCTGTTGACAATTCCTTTAAATATATTGACAATAGGTTTTGAAAACCTGTCAATAGATAGCGTTAGTAGATCATGTGAAAAATGCTTCCTCTACACATATTTTAAAACTCTTTGTGGCTTCACAAAACAAGAAACTGTTGCTTTTTGGACTCTGTTTTCTGGACTCTAACAATAAATGCTGTTTACCTTCAATTATGTTATTCATATCTTCTTCAATAATTGTAGATAATGCTTGCACTTTCTTCACTTTATCCACCTGCTTGAAATGAGGATCTAAAATTCAAAACATAGGGTAAAAAAACAAACAAATACAAAACTAACAGACTAACTGCACTCAGAGACGTTCTCATAACTCATCATTCATGTACATGTATGCTACTTTCTATACTATACTAAGGATCTGTCCCACCACTGGCTGATAGAGGCTCAGATAGCTTAAAAATGACATCACTGTCAGATGAGTCTGTCTGAAGAGAACAGAACCCGATATTTCCATAGCACATTTTACACGTTCCGTTGTTATCAGACAATTTACAAGAATTTAGTAGGACTAACTATAAGTGTCTCCGATAGTAACCAATTAAATGATTTTATATCCGACAATAAGAAAATTCTAAGACATGTTTAGAGTCGATCCTACCAAATTCTTGTAACTTGTCTGATAACAATCTAACGTGTAAAATATGTGATGAAAATATCAGATTTTACCTTATCTGACAGTGACGTCATTTTAGCTATCTGAGCCTCTATCAGCCAGTTTAGGGAGGGGCCCTTAGACTTTCATATTGGGTATTTTAATTGATAACTTCGTATTAAATTTGTACAAAATAATAAAACAAGATTGTCACTTACCTGTTAGAAATGCTACCATCTCTACAGAATAAGTGTTAATGCGGTTAAGTTTCTTTAGATATTCCATAGAATTATTTCCAAAGACTCCCGTCTGTCCAGACTGTAACAATAATTTTAATATAAAAAAATAATATTTTAATTTTAACATGATAAAACTAATAAAAAGTTCAAGTGATCCTATTGAAGTATAAAATCATAGTGCAGTAGAACCTCGATAACTTAAAAACCTCTATAACTTCAAAAAAATCTATGTTCCCTTCCTATCAGAGCACAAAACCTCTATAACATAGACCCTTTGCAACTTAAAACCTCTATAACTTAAAATATTTTGGGTTTCCCTTGGACTTTAACTTGTCGAGGTTCTACTGTTTACATTACACATAAAGAAATGTGTTTACGCTATATATAACGCACACTGCTTTGTGACGTAGGATGTCAGCAATCACAGTACATTTTTAAATGATTCTTTCTTTAATAAAAAGCCATACACCTACGACATGCTTTAGGCTATATATTATCACGCTATTAAATTTAGGGAGTAAATAATTTGGAAACAACCGTCATGCGGGGAAGGGCCGAAAACTACAAGTTGACAATAAAGAAGCCTTTGAAATTTCTTTGTTGTTATTTGTACATTCAAAGGGCATTTGTAATTGAAAATTTGACAAATAAAATAATGTTTATAATAATTTGATGTGGATGAAGTCGCGCGGAAACTACTCCTCTGTACTAATGTTATAGAGTGGAAAGATTTGTGTTTTTGTATATAATGAAATAACTCAAAAACTATTGGGCCGATTTTAAAATTTTTTTCACCGTTAGATAGGTAATTCTGTGAGTAATATGAGAAGAAGGTACTTACAACACCTTTTTGTTGTGTAGCAACCTTATTAGTTGAAATTATTTGTTGCACCGTCATAACTTGCGTGCCTTGTTGTGCTTCCGTTCCTACAAATATTGTCAAATTACAACAAAACCTGAATTTAAAAGATTTTATATGTAACCGAATAAACACCTTACTTACCTTGTGCATAAGGTATAAGTTTGCTCGGTCCTACATAAGATTGCTCGACCACTTTCATTGGAACTACATTTTGGATTATATGACCCCTGCAAAAATATTTGTAAAAAAGGTCTGAAACTAAACACATATAAGAAATATATAGACTAGGCTAGATAAGGAAAGTTGAGGAGTATTTAAATTTTTATAGCAATTATTTTTTTATTAACAGTTTCTTCAGTTAGGGGGGTAAGGGGAACGGAACTAACATCTTATCCGTCCAATTGTCAACCTCACCTGCACGCGCCGGATGGCGACGGAGACCAAGTGGTTT